AACAGTCAATAAACCCAACAACTGGTAGCCAAACAAGAGATACAATGATATAAACCCTTAAATCCCATTGGCTATAAACCTCATAAATCCAACAGTTCATCAAGCTATGGTCACCAACTTGGCTCTCTCAGGGGCCCACCATGTGTAGGTCATTTTCCCTTGGCCCTTTTGGATCTTCCGTTTTCGCCTTCTCCAGAGGGTCCGGTTCGCATGCGCTGCATCTGCTTGCAGACCTCCGGAGGGTCCAGGGTGCCACGCTCAGTTCAAGGTAGGGTCAGTGATGTTTCGAATGCTTGGATGATATTTTTGAGATTCTGTTTGGGTATACTTGGGTGATTTTGAGATGATATGTCACTGATATATTTTTTTTCAGATTTTGGGGTATGTTTCGGTGATCTGGAAAGATATGATGATTTTGTTGACCTCAAACATGCATATGTTTCAGTCACGATAGGATGGTGGTAAACATCACAACGGTCATCCGTAGAGGGATGAGTTCAAAACCAAGATTTTCATCGCCACATGGTCCCATGAAATGAGGGAAGCACTATTGACAATGTTCAATATGCAGGTCATGGAATATGACTCTTATCCGTTATATTCCGAATGTCAACCACACCATGATCATCTATTATCAATATATATATATATTATAATATATTATATATTATCTCTATAGTATAAATATCATATTCATGGGGCTACCATGCAAGCTGACCATGGCACATATGAATCCAGCCCTGCCTGGAATCTGGGTCCCAGCCACAGACCTCCCTTGTGAATCGCTGCATAGACGTCCTGAGGGACGCTACTAGCGAGGCCGGTACCCTCTGGTAGCCTCTGGTCATCATATATCTGCATCTGCATCTTAAATATATATATACAGTATATATATATATACCCTCTGGTTATTTAACGTAGCTATGGAAAATGGTCCATTTAAAATTTATCGATGATTTTTGATGATTCTATCTTTATGTATACTGTGTATATATAATATACAGTGTATTATATATATATATGATAAACATATACATATCTAGATCAATTCTAGATCTGTATCTGTCTGATCCAAACATATCCAACCCATTCCCTCACATGGCTTCGCCGACTTCTGCTGCCTTGGGATCAACCTCTTCGGTGCACATCTGCCGCAGCTCCTGAACAGAGAACTATCTATAATAACCTCTGTAATCAAACATAACAATCGGAAACAACCTATCTATATATACCTGTTTTTATATATATATATATATAAGGTGGCTTATAGCTGGGAACTGGTTGGTGGTTTCAGACCCAACAGAAAAATGAAAAGAGATTCTTCAATTGCTCATTGGCACATTGGGGATCATGATCCCAAATGTAAAATAAAAGCATTTGAAGCCACCAACCAGGAGAACTCAACTCATCAATCGACCTGAGCTGGTCATCCAAGTACACCCTCTGAGAAGATAAATATAGAAAAGAATCAACATATAAAATCACACTGGAAATTCTCCACTACTTGTCTATTTGTTTGGGGGACTGTGCCTCTCGTATGGATTTTTCGAGATGTGATCAAAAAACAAGCCGGTGACCATCCACAAATTGTGACCATAGGAGAGCCCCAAAAGCGATGCTCAAAACCAGCCACCAGTTTTATTTTTGGATTTTGCTCACCGAATCTTTCGCCAGCTGATTCCAAGCAGTCTGAAACCCACTGTGTGGTGCTCCAAAGTTTGCCTCCAAATCCACGTGCGCGGGTTCCGCAAGGCCGCGACCGATTCGACCCTGGTGGGAGGTGGGAGGTGGGATTCCTACCTCTTCTTTACTTAACATATTGTTCTTGATCATATGTTGTGAGTATAGTTTTGGAGGACTTTTGATCCTGCCCTACTTGAAACATCTTGAAACCACTGGCCTTGAGGAGTCTTCATTTCTGGTTTTGGTGCATCACCCGTTTCACAACAAAAACAAAAGTCCCAGCTCTCCACAAACCAAACACTGCTGGTTTCAACCCATAAAAAATAAATTACCAAGATATTTGATTCATACCCAAATATTTGATTCACCGCCACTTAGCAAGTCGTGTTGGACATCATCTGCCACTCAAGGTTCCCTGCCCCAGCTCCCCATCCTGGCCTCACAGTGGGTGATCATCTCATCACTACCATCTCGAGAGCTCCGCATCTCGAACTTGTCCCCCATCCTGGAATCAATGGCCATTTCAGGATCCTAGATTGGAGGTACCTACCATATATAAGGCATTATAAGGCCTATGTAAGGCCTATGTAAGGGAATATCCCCAGAAAATATGGCCTTATATGGTACAGTACCTCCATATTAGGATCCTGAAATTCCCATTGATGGAATGTTTCGTCCGACCCTGGTTGGAAATATTGGAAAGTCACAAAAATCCGGACAAAATGGAGTTTGACTATGAACTTGGAGGGCACTCACCTGATTACTTCTATGATTTTCTATCCGAGAAAATGGACGAAAAGGGCCTGAAGATTCACATCTGTATTTCTGAAGCCCAAATCCAGTCTGCCAATTGAGCAGTGCCCAATGCATGCTCTGTCTTCCCCAAACCTACTGGTTAGTCGATTCCCAGATTGGATTTCCCAGTCACCATAAGTCATCCAAGAAACATGTTTCCCCCATAGTAGATGCTAGATACATTCAAACAAGACCCTGGTTTGGGTACCCTCTGGTAAACTAACACAACTATGGAAAATCACCGTGTTTCATGGGTAAATCAACTATTTCTATGGCCATTTTCTATGTCGCAAACTGATGGTTTACCAGAGGGTAAGTATTGAATCTCATCATTTTCAGAGCATCCCCTGGTGCTCACCCCACGAATGAGACGCCACCACTGCTGAGCGCCCTGCTGGCAAAATCTCAGGAACACCGTGGTGGCCGTTGGCTCATCCGCGTTCTTCGGGATCACCAAAGGCCACGTCATAGCCTAGGGAAAGTGACCAGGATCCAAAAAAAAACGCCGGAACCATCTTCCAACTAAAAGAAACCCTGCTCAAAAACCGGGCCTATGTTAGTTTTGGGGATGGACATGGACAATCAACCGTGGTTTTTTTTAACATCCACCATTTACAGTAGTTCGACGATTTTCACCATAAAGCTCCTCTCATCTTGTGCCATCTGCAGCCATGCCATATCCGAAACCAATATTGAAGAATGTTGAGTAAATATTAATACGTGTGTATAAATACATACATATATAAATTATATGTGTATGTATATGTGTACATGAAATATATGTGTGTATACTATATATATATATGTGGACAGCATGCATTCATGCCTCTTGATAAAGTCTTGTGGAATGCAAATGTAGCCATCACACCACTTGAGAGCGACTGGACGTCTTCTTTTGCCTTGATCTGCACCTAGATGCAATTGAACTGACCCTGCACGCTCGAACTGTCACCGCCATGGTTTTGATCACTCCATGTCACAACCTTTCCGTTTGCCAAAAAGGGCAGAAAAAGCACTGTTTGTACAGATTTGCCGAACATCAGCTGATGTTGCACTGATGTGCTATCCCCACCAAAGTTGGGTCTGCCCCATGTCACCAAGGTTCCGTCTGCCAAAATGGCAACAAAGCCGTGAGCTGAGCCACAAATCTGCAGGACATTTCTGAGCTGATCTTGGACAGCTGTGCTGTCACCACCATAGCCTGACCTGCCCCATGTCACCAACTTGCCATTTGACAAAATGGCAGCAAAAGCCCATTTTGCGGCACAAATCAGCTGAACTTCTTTCAGCTGATCTTGGACTCATGTGCTGTCCCCACCATAGCTAGGCATGCCCCATGTCACCACGGTGCCATCTGCCATTGCAGCGAAAGCACAGTCTGTGGCATGGATCTGCTGAACGTTTCTTAGCTGATCTTGGACTGCTCTGCTGTCGCCACCACAGTGAGGCACGCCATAACCGCTTTTGCCCAATGGCTGTTCAACGCAGCCCGAGATAAATCCGGCGGATGCTTTTGTACAGTATAACCCCCAAAGAAGATAACCACGAGCTTTGTAGCTAAGATCAGGGATGAGTTTAGGGCTGTACTATCTGTACTGCACCTCATGTATCCTCATGTTGGGACAAAATTGGTCATTTGCTATGAAAAAACAATTTTAGCGGGTTGATAATTTTGATCGATCCACATGTCCCATGCAACGCGTACAATCGATAACCATTTACAATTTCATAATTGATTAAGAATCTCAGAAACACAGCGGATCACCTGCAACCATAACAACAGCCCTCCATCTCACAATGTCGTGTCCCAATATGCCCCATGCTTAGCTTGAAACCTAAAAGTAGGTTGACTGGGCGACTAGAGGGTAGATATATCAATACTTCCATGGGAAAATACTTTGATTTTCTTCAGGAACCCCCAAACAAATTCGACTAGATTCCCCTATGAACATTACCCTAAGATGATGGATTTTCCAGGGAAATAATGGCACTGCATGTTGAAAATTCTTGGTGTTGTCAGAGAGGGCGACTATGGCATAGGCCCGGCCCCCTCATTGGCTCACTGGCCCATCCGATAGACTTGTCCATATGAAGTTTCACCATACAGCTTGCAATAACTTCCTCGTAAATGGATGTAGGTGGATGTAAATGGTACCTAAAAAAGATCCTAAAACATCCTCATCGCTTGCTGTTTGTTTAGGATTCAAATGAAACCCCAAATCAAGAAACATCCATCCGCCTGCTGAGTTTCCGACCAAGTCTTTCAGATATCCTTCCTTTCCAACGATGGTCTTCACAGCTTCCATGGCATGCTCCACATAGACCACGCCTGAGGCAATGGTGCGATCCCTTGGAACACCCTGACATCACCCACATTGTTGGCTTGACAAAGGCTTCAAAAATGTCAAGAGTTGATTCAAAGTGGTGCTTCTAACATATAGAATCCATAAAAAAAAAAGTTCCATAATATTACAAGTCCCCAGTTCAGCCTCTGTCACCCCAAAATCCACTGCTTCATCAGGGGCCGCAAAAAAAGGATTTGTAACGATTCGCATGAAGCTAGGCAGTACCCTCTGGTAAACTAACATAGCTATGGAAAATCACCATTTTTAATGGGTAAATCCACTTTTTCTATGGCCATTTTCCATAGTTATGTTAGTTTACCAGAGGGTAATTCTCAACGGCTGGGGTTTTAAAAACCGCCTGGAACCACGATCTCCCCGAAGGCCACGTGCTCTGCGCAAACCTTGAAGAGATCCTCATGGCAGAAGCTGGTTGCTGCTAGAAAAATTGGATGATGCATTGGGCACCAAATGATTTAAATGGAGGGAAACGGGAAACGCCTTGAAAATGAGAGAAAACGATGCTAGAAACAATTTAAACAAGTTTGAAACATCGGTATACAAATGCTTACGGTGTAAAGGTAGTGCTGAAGTGAAGAAATGCAGTAGTACTGTAAGTATCTGTAAGTCATTTGCTGAAGCTATCCACACCCAACTGATCCAGATTGGTAGATTGGTTTTCTCTTCTTTGATTTGGATCACGTTCAAAATCACAACGGATCTTCTGTTTCAAACGCCTGGTGCCTTTCTGCTGCTCTGTGGCACAATCCCCAAATATCCCCAAGCCTCGACCTTGTGGAGCCAACACATCTGACGATGACCAAAGGTACAACTCAGGGTCAAGTCCCGGGGCCTTGAAATCCTAAAAAAGACCAGGTAGCCAGTTAGTCAGGTGCCATTAATCGCTGCTTACTGGTGCGTTTTACGTAGGGAATGGATGGGTTGCTGGGGGTTGCTGGGATGATTATTGATAGTTAATTGTGGATCATTCCCGAAAATTCCCTGCGTTTAGCACCAGTAAGGCTGCCAATATCTTCCTGTTTCCAAGATTCTGACTTGATGGTGCATTCAAAGTGGGTGTCCCTTCCCTCCATGATCTTGCGCCGCAGGCAGCGGTATGCCGTCTCTCTCCAGGGGAAAGAAGCATGCCTGGCACCACAAGCTGGTGAGTTGTCCAACCCAAATCAACTCTGGCTGGCGGCTTCAATCCATCTGAAAAAACTATAAAGTCGACAATAGAAAGCATTTCAAGCCACCAACCGGAACTACTTCCATTGATGAAAGTGGATCCAAATCCGAAAAATACTTGAAAATCCAGGCTGCAAATTTTCCTAAGATCCCCGCCCAACCCTCCCATCCCCACCTGAAGGCGATGGCCCCCGTTTCCGCAGGGGGCTCAGGGGTTGCCGTGCGCTTGGCTGCGAAGGTGAGGTGTGCGTTGGTGCCACCAAAGCCGAAGGAGGAGAGGCCTCCACTGGCTGAGTCTGGAGCAGTGGAGCTGGGACCTACCAAGGGAAATGCTAAGGGAAACTTGGGACTTAACTAGGGAAAACCGGGATATGATGTGGATTCAAGGAGGATCTAACCAGTTTTACCATACTTGGCGGTAAAGTTGGGGTTCAAACCATGGTAATTATGGATTCTAAGCGCTATAGATTGGAATATGGGGCCCCTATACCTATAACTATGGTTATATTTCCACAACTGGAACTGCGCCTCCAAGTAAGGTAACATATCCGCCATCAATTAGCATCTTGGGGATTAGCTGGGGGAAAGTCATTCCTACCAGGGGATTTCTTGTGGGGTGCTAAGGATTGCCCTCCACTGGGGACTATCTGATGGGCAGATTTCCAGTGGAGGTATGTACGAGTACCGTTTGAGAGTAACGGATCCTTTGCCTATATTAGCCTATATATCATTCATGATTGATTGGTCTGCAGTCTGCACTGCACGATCCAACTTACGGATTATCCACCAAAAATCGGAGAGTCGGCGATCGTCTAATAGTTTTGGGGGAGCTTGAAGCATCATCCCCTACTCCTGGACCACTGGATCGATAGAATCGATAGAATCTACTGGAAACCATTCGTTTTACCATCTCTTACCCTCTGGTATATTAACATAGACCCTGGCAGATAGGGGTTGGAAGACTAGTGAAACCACTATAAATTGGTCATTTTCAGGGTCTATGTTAATTTACCATCTCTTAAAATATCTTAAAATGTCTCTTGCACCAATTCCAGGAATGCAAGAAGCGGCTTTAACGAACATTTGGATGGTATAACCCCACAACATCATCAACCACGAGAGGGTGTTCAAACAACCAATATGAATCATATGATGGTTCACTTTCTGTAGCCAGAGGGATTTCGTGTAGAAAATCCAAAATCCTAAGGCAAATTCTTGAAAGGCCAAATCAAAGCCTCAAATTGGTTAAGTTAGGCAAGGAGTACTCATCAGGATCTTCAGCTCTTTGGATCTCCAGAACCCAGTGACCCAGTGCCTGATGCCAGCGTCCCTGCCGGAAGCTCATGAAGCTCAGTAGGGATCACAGCAGGGAAGTCCTTGCTTGGCCCATTGGCATCATGCTCCAACTTGTCAGAAGGACATTTCCCAGCATGCCTTGAAGATATGATATATCATAATAATAATAGACATAATAATAACAAGAAGAATGATAATAATAATAATAATCGTCATTATAGTAATAATGATAATGATAATAGTCATGATAATGATAATTATTATAATTATAATTATAATGATAATAATATTGATGATAGTGATAATAAAAAAATAATTGACCATGTGTGTGTTTGGCTTTTCCTATATACACATATGAAGGGAAAACATCATGATAGGATTGCTTATGATGATTGCCAAAAGGCCACGTGAACCACGTTTCTCGTATGTTGGCGCCTCAGGGTTACTCATAAGCGACGGCCAAACAACCCACGAGTTTGGCCCATGATCTGCTTCTAAAAAAATGTATGGACAGGTCAAAATGAGAGAAGGATACTTGGTTGATGATTACACATAGTCAGAAAACCTCCAGCACTCATGTTCTTGCATTTTCAGGGAGTTAGAATCGATTACACGTTCATGTTAAGCTAGAGAAGCAGATTACAAGCGGGATCATCGAGCCATTTGATGCAAACGTTCATGCCGTTGCAGGCTGTCCTCCATGTCGATGTGAGGATTCAAACTCTGGAAATGCAAGTTGGGCGGTGCTTGCCTCTTCTCCAACATGTGCACGCTCCTGAGCTAAGGCTGCGCAGGTATGGGTCGAAAATGAACAAACAACGTCCAACAAGCAGTGAAATGCATGGGGTTGAACTTGTGAGAGAAACGGGGGGGGTCATAGTGTTAGTGGTCAATATCAGTACTTGCAGGTGCCCAGTGTGAAAGCTTGGGTTTTGTCCATGGTGTGTACATGCGTACGAAGGAAACGCGTCAAGTTGCATTCTACCTTACCACAAAGCAAGATGTCGTCCTATTGCAACTGGGATCTGGGAGCCGTGGGAACATTCAATCAAACAGACCGCCATCACCGTCACCATCACCTTCACCACCACCACCACCACCATCATCATCATCCTCATCCTCCTCATCCTCATCCTCATCCTCATCCTCATCCTTACCATCACCACCATGACTATCAACATCAATTATACCTCATATTCCTGGCCCTGTTCTGCATCCCCATGGCTCATCCATGGCCGGAAGTTTCTGATCCAAGGTGCTTCAAGAAGCCTGCAATGCCCGCCGAACCTTCCAGGTGTGCAATGTTGGTCTTTGCCGCTCCCAGCACCACACTGGATCCAGTCCTGGGCGACAAAAAAAGGTGACAAGGTCAAGGTCGCTATCCCATGGTATCCCAGGCAGGTCCGTGATTTGATGGTGATTTCATGGGCATAAAACGGAGCTACAGTGGTATGATTTGGGGGGTTGTCTGAAAATAGGCGATTTGCTCCCCACTTATGGCAAATTTTAGCATTACAATGATGACTAACCAGTGGATGGAATGGGGTACGCTATGTTCAGCTAAACCCAAACAGGAAAGACGTTGATCTAAGCTCGGAATTGTTTGAAACCACCAGAAATGGTTCAGAAGCATGATCACTCTAAGCATTGACCCAAAGCCGGCGACATGACACAATTCTGATTTTTGCTTTGACAAAGGGATTGCTATTTTTGCAACTTACAAGTTATTGATCATGGAACATGGTTATTCCTGTTCTTGAATCAATTATTGGCTAGTGTCCTCCGCTATCATGGTTACCCTCTGGTAAACAGCCACATAACTATATGGAAAATCATAATTTTTTAGCTGGGTAAATCCACTAGTCTATGGCCATTGGGCCATTTTCTATGTCGCAAACTGTTGCTTTACCACAGGATCAACGGTCCCATGCTACGGACCCCACCTTCTGCGATCCAAAGAGGGTTGCACCGAATGACGACTCATTTCTTCACTGAACTTCCTGTATCCGTAGTTAGAATTAGATTCATATGTATATATTACAATTACCATTATATATATAATCATATATATATATAATTAAATATTGTATATATAATATATCATTATATATAATGTGTATATATATATAATATGTATATATATATAATATATTAATATATATATAACATCACCTTCCCATTCTGTATTGAGCACCCCTATGGTCGCCAAGCATCTCTCCCAGCACGCCCTTCAGCGCATCCACCTCAATAGGATCTCCCAGGGCCGTTCCGGTGCCGTGGCACTCGATGAGCCCCACGTCCTTGGGCTCCACGGCGCCCTCCTGCAACCTGGGTGCAGCTGGTTTCAGCCATGGAAAATGACCCCTGGAGTCACAACGGAGTCACTATGAAATCATAAAATCATCATCCCAAAGTCTGGAAAAATGTGGAAACATGGAGAGAATGTTGAAAAATCTTGAAGCATGCTTTTAAAAGTGCCAATCAGAGAATTTTTTTCCAGCAAGGTGGTGAGTGTGTGGTCTTTGGAGGAAAATTGTTCCAAACATGGGGTGGTGCTTTCTGTAATTGTTTCAATATGTCTACAAATCAAAGTTTCAAAACATGTACAATTCAAACACACTAATCAAGTGAGTAGGAGGAAACGCGTGGTAATGGGTTTTCCCATATTTTTTTGGGCATGTCGGAGTGCGGCTAAGGAGTTGGTCCATGGGTGGCATGCAGTCAACTACCATCGGCCCTATGGGCCAAGGTTCTGCGAAGGGTTTTCTCAACTACTGAACCAAAAGAAGAGACCACTGTGTGCGATGTTTTGTGCATCCGGACTGACAAACACGGAATCCCAACAAAAAAAAACTCTGCAAGATCATTTCCTCCAAAGTCAAACATCTAAAGAACACACCGAAAACACCACATTTTGGGGGTTTCATCCCTCAGCCCCACATCCACCAAGCCGCGCCCGGCGAATCACCGCCTGCTGCGAGGGCCCGTTGGGCGCGGTCAGCGATGCGCTGCGGCCGTCCTGGTTGGCCGCAGAGCCGCAGAGCATGGCACGAGCCAAGTCTTCCACATCAGCAAAGGAGAGGAAGGCAGCTCCCACGCCCTCACCACGGGCATAACCTCGGATGGTCGGAGGATGAAATCGATTTTGGGGGCTTGAATTATGAGCCACTCGGGTGGCAGAACCAGGATATTTTGACATAAATAGTTCGTGATAGTTGTCACTTTTGCCATTTCTTCGTCGTTTGGGTTCGTCATGTGTTTCTTTTATTGCGAAGACCGGAGATACTCAAAATAGTATGCCTAACCTTAGCTATCAGGCTAAAAGAGTGACTGCTTTTGGCAAACAGGATATGCAGGTTTCCCTGAAATAGGGGTACCCCTAAATCATTCACTTTAATAGGATTTGTCCATTGTAAACCATCCAGCTATTGGGGGTACCACCATTTATGGAAACCCGCAATGTACCAGTGCGTCCACTTGGGTTTACCCAGTCAAAGAGGCGGGACCTCGATGGATCTGTCGAAAAACGAGTAGTGGAACGATGGTAGCTGTGCTTTGGGCACAGCATGTGGTCCAATCTTATTCCAGTTCCACCTACAACCTCGGAATTTCATGGAAATTCTACTTATAGTTTCAATGAATAGAATGAACATCCTGTGAGAATGGATTTGGGTTCCCCTCAGTTATCATCATCAAATTATAACTCTGTTGTAATATAATTCTCAATGATATGGGAATCTCAAATTACAATTCATGGTTATTGTATAAACCCAAATGATGTGGGAATCTATTATCACATCCAATTATCAGATTAATAGAAAAAATGATCCTCGCACTTCCCATGAATAAAAACTATCCCATATCATTAGAGTATATTATTCAAATGAATCATTATTAGCTATCAGTGTCCCATATATTATAATGTCCATCCCATATAAGCTATCATTATCCCATACATAATTTAGAGTTGTTGTATAAGCATCTGATATAACATCAAGAAGTATCAAATGATAACTCTGATCCCAATTCGGTCGGATTCTAATAGACATTTTAACAATAGGTCATATGATTGCTTAACAATAGGATGAGTTGGAGGATTCTTGATAACCTATTGTTATAAGTTATAAGTTATAAGTTGTAAGTTATGATATCTATTGTCCTAGTATCTACTTAAACCTCACCATCGATAACCTAATCATATCATCTTCCACAAGTTCTGCCCGGGCGAGGAGCCATTGGCCGAGGCGTCAAAGGTGAAGCAGCGACCATCCTCCGAGAGCATTTTGGCTTTGCTGAAACCTTAAGTCATCACCAGAATGGTACCACAGGAAGGGGCCCAAGGGAGAACCCAAACCTGTGCTAAGTTGGTGAAGCAGCTTCACTGTTGGGATTATGATGGTTATTGGTAGACTTCTCGAACTAGTCAGATGAGGGTTAGAAGCCAAGAAACATAACTAAAAGTAGGGCCTTCCTGCGTTAGCACCATGATTTGTCTAGAAATGATATCTAGGAAATCCCAAAATCTGATGTAAGGCCAGTTTGAACCATTTTCTTGATGGTTTGTGAATATGACCCGTCATTTCTGGTGAGTTTGTGTAATGTTGTAATGTAAATGTCATCTTGCCAGTATCACCACATGTTGCACCATCACTACTACCACCACCGCCGCCGCCGCCGCCACCATCGTCACCCTCATCCTCATCATCATCATCATCACCATCATCATCATCATCACCATCATCATCATCATCACCACCATCATCATCATCATCGTCATCATCATCATCATCATCCTCCTCCTCATCATCATCATCATCATCATCATCCTCATCCTCATCGTCCTCGTCCTCATCATCATCATCATCATCATCATCATCATCATCATCATCATCATCCTCATTCTCATCCTCATCGTCCTCGTCCTCATCATCATCATCATCATCATCATCATCATCATCATCATCATCATCATCATCATCATCATCATCATCATTTTCATCTTCACCCATTCCATCCAATTCACATAGACCCTGGAAAAATATTCCATGTTCAGTGGAAACATGTGGAAACTGTATAATCTTCCAACCCCCAAGTCATGGCAGGGTCCACGTTAAATTACCAGAGGGTATCACAAGCATCATTGAGATATCCCGCTGGCTCTCGCAGCTGAGTTACTGATGTACGGTCCAGTGCCCAGGATCAAATTCGTTCCTGCCGTCAGAACCTGAGAAGTGGCTGGAAGTCACCTGACTTCACAAGGTGAACAATAGAAACTGGCAGATGAGAAATGAGAATGGTTTGTCTATCTATAGATCATAATAATTAGTTCACTCTATCATTATGAATATGTAGAATTGATTATGTACAATTCCGGCTTATCATTCAGACTCCAAATGGCCTCTGATGCCAGTCATGCACACCTCGCACAACTCCCTCTGCCACCAGGTCGCTGCTTCAGACGTTCCACGGCGCAGGGACGACAGCGCAGCATCAGCAGCTACCAAGGAGGAGGAGCAAGCCGTGTCACACCTTGCAGCAGGTGACTGGCAGGGTCCAGGTAATTTACCATCAAGAACTGGCACCTTAAAGAGCCACAATCTTCCTTAGCAGCCTTTGCACTTGCCAGGTAATTCTTACTTAACCTCCCCTCCTTCAATAAAACATACCAACAATAAATCCGGCCTTTCGAGTGAAAATCATAAATTCATGGCTTAAAAAAGTGCCCCTCCCAACTGCCCCTTCGCCACTCGCGCCGAGGGGCGTCAGGCTTGGGCCCTTGGTACCGAAGATGTAGGAGGTACGGTTGGAGCTGATGGAAGCGGCGATGCCAGTACCTGGAACCACGACCTGGAACCACGACTAGCTTCCAATGGGGACATCCAACCATGGGGATATCATGGGATATCATGGGAAATTGCCAACAATATTGCTGGTTTTGTTTCACAATTTGAATCAATTTGATTATTTAATATTATTTAGATATTGACCTTCAATGTATGGCAAAAAACAAGGGTTTGATGCAAGGAATTTGGGGGTGCCCGAAGCCCACAACCTTGGCTCAGACTCAGTAGGTGCTGGTATGTTTCGTTGATACACAGGGCATCACAGGGCACCGGTATACGGATTGAATTTGTCGCCAACGCTGATCATCACAAACCTCACGACGGACACGGCTCTAATCTTCCCATGGACCACGACTAAGTCTTCAGGGACTGGCGCTTCATCGCGCTACATTGCCCTGTTTTTACACACTGCCACCGCAATCAATTTCTATTTCGCAAATCAAACAACTTGGGCAACAACTTACCGCATCCATCAAACATGGCTGGAACATCCCCTACGAATGGAGGTAAAAAAAGGCTGGGAAAATCATCGAACTACCCTCTGGTAAACAGCCACATAACTAATAACTACAGGATGGTGCCCCCCAGTTATAAGTTGGTTTATAACCCCCATTAACTATAGTTATATCTGCCATAAACCATAGTTATGGGAGTTATAAACCAACTTAGCTAACTATGGGGCACCACCTTGTATGGAAAATCACCATTTTTAATGGGTAAATCCACTGTTTCTGTGGCCATTGGGCCATTTTCTATGTCGCAAACTGTTGCTTTACCAGAGGGTATTCACCATTAATCACCATGGAAATTCATGGATTAATCACCATTAATCACCATTTTCCTATGGTTTTCCTATGGTTTCCTATGGGGGATGACGTTGGATGACTTTCCCCTGCGCCGAGCAGCCAGTCGTACTGACATTGACCCACAGAGACACCCACATCGGCGCCCATGAGCTGATCCCTGTCGCGGCCTGGAGGTGGAGCAACAAAAACACGGGCGGTTGAAGATGTCTATTGTATCAGATGAAATATGATCATTATAGTAATATAGTATCCATAATATATAGTATCATTATATAGTATCATTATATAGTATCATTATATAGTATCATTGTATAGTATCATTGTATAGTATCATAATATAATATCATCATATAATGTCATACTAAAGTCTCACAATCATGTAGTATAGTATCATATACCAGTTTTTTGGCTGCGATGTTGGAAATCTAACAGCAAACCACTAGCGGAAATTCTGCCATTTTTCCTGCATCCTCCAATCTGGCCTCCAGCCGCTAGCTGAGCGGGGGGTGCCATTATTGGGTTTCCCAGATGAATGAGCACTTGCATAGTACCATATCATTTCACGTCAAATGCATTATATATCATGATACCATATCATATAGTATCATGCAGGATCAGAGAGTATCAAAAACACGTAGCATCCATTACCATGGTGCGTTTGCACCATAAATACTAAAGTCTGCATGCATTTCTGCCGTCTAACGTGTGTGTCGTCTGCGCAGCAAGTTATCTTCTGCTCAAAATCTGCACTGCCACCCTACTGCACCTGCTGCAGTGAACGCCGTATGAGCGGCTTCCAACCTAGGAGGGCTGCGGTTGTACTGGCAATCATCAAGATAACATAAGCATAATTCACATGAAGATAAACCAACCAACCCATTCTCATATCGAATGTAAGGATGCCCAAGCCAGACCCTTGACCATGGCACATATTGAAACATTCAGCTATTCCAAAAGCCGTACAGGGGCTCCTTCGCAGAATTAGAACATTGAATGGAAACAAAGCGAAAAGACTACCCAGAAGATAATACCAAACGTCAAACCACACGTCCTTGTGGATAATATGTCCCTAATGTGGTAAACCCAATGCCATAAACCATCCCCAAGTCATCACCATTTTTATGGGTGGGATTTCAACTATCCCCAGTCATGGTAGGTTTATGGCAGCTAGGGTTTCCCACATTATCAGCTATAAGTTAGTGTATAACCCGAATTTATAGTCACATCCTCCAAAAAAACAACTTATAGAAGTTATAGAAGTTCATAAACCCAACTATGGAAGTTACAGAAGTTCATAAACCCAACATCATCCACATAACTATGGAAAGATCCACCATTTTCTAGCTGGGTAAATCCACCATTTCTATGGTCATTTTCAATAGCAAACTGTAACAATTTACCAGAGGGTATTATATTCAAATCCCATGAAATCCCATTAGATCTCCATTGAATCCCATTGAAAAAAACATAAAATCCCATGAAAAAAAACATATGGCCATAACATCCCAAACAGCCCAATAACATATGGCCATTAAATCCCATTAAAATCAACATCCCATTAAAATCCCATTAAAATCCCATGAATTTCACAGGAAAATTCATGGCTGCCCTCCGAGCCGCAGCAGCCGCTGCTGCGGATCGATGCTGGCCGCCTCGGCGGGCGACAGCCCGAAGCAGGAGGGGTCGAAGAGCTCCGCGCCCTCGATGAAGCCGCCGTGCTTGGCGTAGGTCTTCCCAGGCGCGTCCGGGTCCGAACTGTAGTACCTGATTGGGGATTGGGAAATCAACTGCAAAGTTAGATGTTGTGTTCTTTTGGAGCTATGAACTATAAGGAACTTGCAACTTTTGTGAGCTATGAAGTCAAAGACTGGGCTCTACATCTAACTGCAAGTAAGTTAAGCGCTCTGTGTGTGTGTGCTGTCTGCGATATTTGTAGCTGGTGATCCTTCTCAGACATGGACATTAAAAAGTCCCAGGCCGTGGAAATGCTGTTGCAATGAGGGCCATTGACAGGTCCAATAGCACTGCTTGCAAATGCATAGAAATGAGACTTTAAAATCTTTAAATGAGATGAGGGTAGGGCCACCCATACAGTAATTTGTGGTAACTACAGGAAGTGACTGATCAGGGGGCCATTCAAATGGGGCTCGCAGTAGCGGCTTTTCATTGTCGGTGAGCATCCGAACGCGATGCAAATTCCAAGCGGATATTAGATCCAGGCCCATCCAATCAGTTGCACCTTTGGTGCTCTTGGGCCATACAAAATGGGATGAGGATGAGGATGATGAGGATGAGGATGAGGATGAGGATGAAGATGAAGATGAAGAAGATGATGATGATGATGATGATGAAGAAGATGATGATGATGATGATGAAGATGAAGATGAAGATGAGGATGAAGATGAAGATGAAGATGAAGATGAGGATGAAGATGATGATGATGATGATGATGATGAGGATGGTGATGATGATGATGAAGATGATGATGATGATGATGATGAAGATGAAGATGAAGATGAAGATGAGGATGAAGATGAAGATGAGGTTGAAGATGAGGATGAAGATGAAGATGAGGATGAAGATGAAGATGAGGTTGAAGATGAGGATGAAGATGAAGATGATGATGAGGATGAAGATGAAGATGAGGATGAAGATGAGGATGAAGATGAAGATGAGGATGAAGATGAGGTTGAAGATGAGGATGAAGATGAAGATGATGATGAGGATGAAGATGAAGATGAGGATGAGGATGAGGATGAAGATGAAGATGAAGATGAAGATGAAGATGAGGTTGAAGATGAGGATGAAGATGAAGATGAAGATGATGATGATGATGATGAAGAAGAAGAAGATGAAGATGAAGATGAGGATGAAGATGAAGATGAAGATGAGGATGAGGATGAAGATGAAGATGAAGATGAAGATGATGATGATGATGAAGAAGAAGAAGATGATGATGATGAAGATGAAGATGAAGATGAAGATGATGATGATGATGAAGAAGATGAAGAAGATGATGATGAAGATGAAGATGAAGATGAAGATGATGATGATGATGATGAAGAAGATGATGATGATGAAGATGAAGATGAAGATGAGGATGAAGATGAAGATGAAGATGAGGATGAAGATGATGATGATGATGATGATGAAGATGATGATGATGATGATGATGAAGAAGAAGATGATGATGATGCTGATGATGATGAAGATGAAGATGATGATGATGATGATGATGGTGATGAAGATGAATATGAGGATGAAGATGAAGATGAAGATGAAGAAGATGAGGATGATGAAGATGAAGATGAAGATGAGGATGAAGATGAAGATGAAGATGAGGATGAAGATGATGATGATGATGATGAAGATGATGATGATGATGAAGAAGATGATGATGATGCTGATGATGATGAAGATGAAGATGATGATGATGATGATGGTGATGAAGATGAATATGAGGATGAAGATGAAGATGATGAGATGATGAGGATGAAGATGAAGATGAAGATGATGATGATGATGATGATGAAGATGAAGATGAAGATGAAGATGAGGATGAAGATGAAGATGAGGTTGAAGATGAAGAAGATGAAGATGAGGATGAAGATGAAGATGAAGATGAGGTTGAAGATGAGGATGAAGATGAAGATGATGATGAGGATGAAGATGAAGATGAGGTTGAAGATGAGGATGAAGATGAAGATGAGGATGAAGATGAAGATGAGGTTGAAGATGAGGATGAAGATGAAGATGATGATGAGGATGAAGATGAAGATGAAGATGAAGATGAAGATGAGGATGAAGATGAAGATGATGATGATGATGAAGATGATGATGATGATGAAGATGAATATGAGGATGAAGATGAAGATGAGGTTGAAGATGAAGATGAAGATGAAGATGAGGATGAAGATGAAGATGAGGTTGAAGATGAGGATGAAGATGAGGATGAAGATGAGGATGAAGATGAAGATGAGGATGAAGATGAGGATGAAGATGAAGATGAAGATGAGGTTGAAGATGAGGATGAAGATGAAGATGATGATGAGGATGAGGATGAAGATGAGGTTGAAGATGAGGATGAAGATGAAGATGATGATGAGGATGAAGATGAAGATGAGGATGAAGATGATGATGATGATGATGATGAGGATGAAGATGAAGATGAGGATGAAGATGAAGATGATGATGAGGATGAAGATGAAGATGAGGTTGAAGATGAGGATGAAGATGAAGATGATGATGAGGATGAAGATGAAGATGAGGATGAAGATGGTTGAAGAAACCCTTCCTGATGGATCCCAGGTGCATGTCCAGGTCCCAACGAGTGAAGGGGATCTCCACCACGGAATCCTGGCCGTAAAAAACCCAGGAGATGGTTGCGAAATCCTGCACTAGTTGATAGATGGTAAACGTCCCACTATTTATACTCATGGTTAATAACCATTATAAGGATCCTTATTATAGATGGGATGACCATCAACCAGTTGATATATGGTTTATCCCACTATTTATAGGGTTTCAACCATCCTTTTGGTGGTGCAGGATTTCTCCCATCAACAGCAGGTTGTGGGTTCCTTTAGAACATAGATTAACTTGGCTAGAAAGGAATGCCTCACGGGCTTTGCCTAAGAGCGATGAAGTAAAAAATAAAATGTAAATTAATTTCTATAAACATTATATAATTGTTCAAGCTTGGTACACAAATCGTTTGCAAACTTGCCTGGCTCTCTGCAAAACCACTAGTACTTGTGTCTGCGATTTTAAAGTGGGATCTCACTCGGATTTGCTCGGGGTCCAAAACAAGAATCAAGTCCATACCATGAGGCATGTCTATTGCAATTTACCAATTACAAGGATGAACCTCGCATTGGGCCGTACAAGTCAGATAGGCCGTGAATCCCAAAGCCAACCATCTACAAAAGTTACAACAATTTCCAAGACTATTGTCATCAAATCTGATGGTTTCACAAATATTACTAATCATTGATTTGGCTTGGTTCTTTTAGGCTCCCAAAAAAATGATCTGGCATTTGAGAACTTGTCCAGATCCTATCCCCAAAATTCAGGTTCAACTTCGGATTTTACCATAGTTTACCCCGAGGCTGTTAACAACATCAAATCTGGGTAGGGTAAATTATAGTAATTCACCAACCTGAAATAAGGATCTCTTTATTAGTATTAGATTCTTAATACTATCATTACTATTACTAACTATAATTATTCATTTTTCATTATAAATTATTATCATTATTATTGAATTATAATTTATTGGGATCATAATTCACTAAGCAAATGCTTCACACATCCCCCGCCTTCTTCTCCAGCAAGTCTTCCCAAAAGCCATCGTCACGGCGGCCCGGTAGGCTCGAGGCCAAGCCCGAAATGCCTGCGGCCTGCCCTGCCGTTGCTTGTGGGAGGCCTGCCGTGGGATTGATGGGCGTCTGGGGGCTAGAAGGCGGTGTGGTAGGTCATTAGCCTTGCTTTATAACTAGCTTACCCTCTGGTAATGACTAACATAGCTATTGAAAATGGCCATAGAAAAATCATAGAAATAGTTGATTTACCCGTTAAACATGGTGATTTTCTATAGTTATGTTAGTTTCCCAGAGGGTAACTTGGGTGTATAGTAGATATCTCTGTAGTGAGGTTTATAAACCAACTTGTAAATGGGTGGGTGGCACTGCTCACCTTGTATATTGGGTAGCAATGCAACCAGAAGCAGAAGGCTATCTTAAGAAGTGAAACAGCCAAGTTTCAACAATTTTGATCCATCGCCATTAATCGTCCAAGCCATGATACAGAAACTTTGTGAACATCCGAGAAATCGACAGAATAGACGTTGGAACGGTCCACTCACTGGATTCAGATTTTGCTTCGACATTGAACATAAGTCCGGTCACCCCCACGATCTCTGTAATTGCCAACCCACGAAGCCAGGGGAGGAAGTTCGGGAACGGGATTTAATCAGAAGTGGGTCGTATCCACCGCGCGCTATGTTGAGGGACCTGGACTCTCTCGATCCCAGCAATGTTGTCAAGTTCTTACCCCTCAAGAGTCCAAGGCAAAGTAGGTTTTGAATGGTTTTGATGTCTGTAACCACAAAAACACATGAATATATTATACAAGTATAGTTATATAATGTTATATACATACAATAGCCAGAACTGCCGCAAGAAAGGTGCAGTTTTTGGGTCTAACGGCTATAGTCATCTAGTTACAGGTGACACTCTCCACCTGGCATGCCCACTTGAGGGCACAGAGCCAGCTCAGCATGTTAATTAGTCACTTTGTGCCTTTTCGGCATAAAAGATCATCAGAATTATATGCAATTAAAAAATACTAAAAACATATATACTGTATTAGACAAATTAGAATATTACACTATGTCAGAACTGCATCTCGACCCAGCCACGTGCAAGTAGTGAAACCCTCTGGCATGCTTCGACCCTTCCTTCACAAGCCTCAAGCAGGAATTCCGGCCCTGAACGCCTCCGTATCAGATCTGCCGCAGTCAATCCCCGCGAGTTCCGCAAATGAAGCTTTGCCCCTGCAGCAATCAAAGCTGCAGCACATTCGTCATTTCCGGAGAGTAAGGCTAGCATCAAAGGCGGTGCGTCTTTGGCATGGTAAAAAATATTGCTGAATGCCGTGGCCTTGTGAAACCGGTGCTGCAAAACCTTGAAGGTGTATACAGCTCGCATCAGTGCCGTGCGCTTGAACCAGTCACCAGTTTGAGAATTGACATCTGCCCTCATTTCAACCAGTCTGTGAACCACCTCTGCACCTCCAGTGGAAATTGCTACACTGCAAAGGGCGCTCGTGGCATCCAAGGAACTGGCGTTACTGTGACTGAGGAGTTCGTCTAGGGCTTCAAGAGATCCAAAGCCGGTAGCACATTCCAGCGGAGTGACGCCGACAGAATTCGGCTCAAGCGGGCACCTGGCATGGAGGAGAATCTGGACGGCTTCTGCATTGTTCAATCCCGCTGCAACGATAAGAGGTCTGTGAGCAAACGCCGTGCTGGTGACCTTACCTCTGGCAGAGATCAAAACACGGACAGCCTCATTGTTCTTGAAGGCGCAGGAAATGGCAAGAGGTGAAACCCCCGCTTCAAATCCAAGATCTGGATGGATTTTCCCTGTAACTTGGTTCGGATCTGCCTGAAGTGTCAGTAGGTCTTGAACCAGTGATGGGTTGCCGTTCAGGGCCGCATAGTGAAGAGGCGAAAATCCAGCACCGTCCATCTTGCAGATGCTGCAGAAACCATTCTGATGGAAGAACTTCATGAGAAGGGGTGAAAAATTCAGATCCGCATGGTTTTGCTCAGAGCCGGGAACAGGCTCGAAGAGGTTGCAATCCAAACCTCTGAAAAGAAACGGTTGATGGTTCAGCCAAAAACGGAAACCTGGTAAGTCCTGGGCTTTGAGAAGCCAAAGCAGCTTGCGCTTCAGTGCTTTCATGAGAACCGGCCCGAGTTTCGAGCGATCCTCTGGAATTGTGAAAGCTCCTTCACCCACTGGTCCAGACCCAGCACCAATGGATGCACAAGCGCCCGATATGAGCTGAAGATCATTGGGTCCCTTCACCTGAATCCAGGAGTGGTTTTGGGAGAGTTCTCGGCAAGATCTTTCCAACCGGCACCAGCCCCTACAGTTCCACGTGACTGGAGTGATCAGATTGGTTCTACTTGGATTCTCCAAGACCGGTACAAGGGCAAAAAAGAAGGAGCACTCGTCCACACATGCCGGTATACTGTTGATGGCGTCCAGCAATGTGCCTCTGTGTGTTTTTTCTCCACGACCTGAAGATTCGCTCAGCCTTTTCTTCTGTGGGAACGAGAAATAATCATACCAAAAGAAGAGCGGTTCTGACAGAATCTTTGATGTGGGTAGAGGCTTCAAACCTGGATTTTCAGTTTCAGAAACTAAACCTACAGGTATGCTCTTCAGGTTGCCCATCATCTCCTTCAAGGCATCCTGCAAGACCCGTATCTGCTTGCACTCTGGGTCCGGGTGGCTGCTGGTAAGCCACTGGTGCGAAATAAATGCCGCATTGCCCATATTCCTCTGGAACTCCACCAGCACATCTCTGGCCTTCAGGGTTTCATGAGGCTCGACCTCGGTCATATCCAACAAGGTGCCTAAAGGTACTGTGTACATAGGGAAAAGCATGGGCAGCTTGTCATCCTCATGGACATCATGGAGCTGAGTCCTGAGTGATCTTGCGTACTGGGCCAACGGTGTCAACGAACGGGCACCGCAACATGCCATGGCAAATGTGATGCTATTGAAGTAGCAGGTGCCCCTTGAAAGGGCCCCCACCCAATGACGTGGTGCAGCAGGCTTTGTCTATTGTGTAATCGTTGCAATTGCAAGTGATTGCTTGCATTTCATTGCAAGCATTGCAGGAAAAGTTTAATTCTGTCACAAGAGTCTGTAGATACCAGTGATTTATGACACCAACGGCTTTAAATCTCTCCTAGGTTCCAGTCACAAGACACTATAAATACCCGTATGTTTGACAATGTCTACTTGAAAAATCACTCCCGCATTACTGCTTGTTTTGATTGTTTACGGGACATTGTGTATAAAATGGCTATCCAATAAATCGCAGAAATATGTATGCAAGAATGGTTCAGTTCCCTATTTATGGGCATCCAAATTACTGTATCCAATTATCAATCAGAATCATCTATATATACGTATATAAATGTCGACAAATGTGGAAATGTCATAGGATCCAGCTTCCAAACCTTATCATCTCCAGAATGGCACTTCAATCAAACAAAAGAGGATTCGAGCGAGAGAAAACGGCAACAGCAAGTGGTTCATCCACTTGTCTTTTTTGATGCTTACTGCTTCTGAACATAGCGGCAGAAATGACGACACCATACATGACTTTGCCTCTCACCTGCATAGAAGCACATAGAAGCATTCATCCTTTGCCAAAATAATCTTCCAAACCACAGTACATTCCCACATCACAAGTCGGCTTCGAAACCCCAAATTATATCAAATGATCAATTTTCAAACATTTCACTCGCAACTCCATGGTGTTTTTTTCATGTGTGGTTTCTATCTTCCCATCCGCCCAGCTGCTCATTTCGGCACCTGCCAGTCCCGCGCCCTGCGCCGTAGTGGCTCCCACTTGCGCCGCAGCAAAGGCGCTGATGGCGCTGACGGTGGGGTAGTCGAAGATTAGCGTGTTGGGCAACTTCACGCCTCGTGGCGCCGTGGGGCTATAGATTCAAGGGAAAATCAACATGTCCTGCAACTTTGAGATTGCAACACATTATATATATATGCGACAAGTGAAACTTAGAATGACGTCCAGGTTTCCAAAACGATAATCTTAGACACTTAGAATGACTCGGTTTCGTGGGCATGCTAAGTGTTCGAAACCTGCAAAAATACACATAATTTAAAAATTCTAGATTTCACTGCTTTTTGATGACATTTTCCGAAAAAACGACTATCGAAACCCAAAAATGATGACCCGTGTCAAACCGTTCGCACATAGGGTGGTGGGAAGATTATTTCAAAAGTGGAAGGTGCCCAAAACGTGAGTTTTGGCTTGCCCGGTGGGGCGGCGGTTTCCAAAACCACATTCTAAGTTACACTTGCTGCATATAACTTGAGTTTCAAGAACTTGACCGACAAGAAACAAGGCCAAAAACCAGTTTACACCCGCTACTGCTCTTTGTCATTTCATAACTCTAACATGCTGGAAATCAGAAAAAATTGCCATGTCCATCCATGTCCAATCAAAAATATATAAATTTATATAAACCTCTTCCAAAGCCACATGGTGCAGTCATTTGGTCCCCGGCCTTGCAATTCATTGGAGAGGCGATTGCGGAACTCCACCGCAGCCAGCGAGTCCAGGCCGGAATCCATCAGGGGCTCCTGAAGGCGTCAGGACCTCACAGGTCATGGGAAAATGTGGTGAAATATCTATGGAAAATCTATGGGAAATGAATGGATTATGGATAATTGATAATACCCTCTGGTAATTTAACATAGCTATTGAAAATGGCCATTTATAGTGAGTTTTCCCATTAAACATGGTGATTTTCCATAGTTATGTTAGTTTACCAGGTAACATATTCTTATGGTGTCAACCATCCCGAATTTGACCAGAAATAGAATCAAGCCATCACTCGATTGCATCACCCAACCAATTCACCAAAGCGAAATCCATAAACCCTGGAATCCCTAGGTCTCTTGGAGGGAAGACACACTCAAATAAAAAATGCCATCTCCCATATCAAATCTCAATTATATCCCAATGTGTTATATCCCAATTATATGTTTTACGTTTTACCATGTTCTACCATGTTACACCCATAAACCCCATCCATGTTATACCGGTGGTTTCCCAATACCATCCCGCCACAACTCGCGTCCTGCGCATCCACGGTGTGGCCGGTAACTTCTCCTGCCACGCTGAGTACCAAGGCCTCGACCTCTGCCACGCTGATGCCGGGGGCCTCGGCTTGACTCAGCACTGGATGTGGAAACGGAGGCACCCTCCGGTAATTTTGAAGATGGATGATTGCCGATGGATTTACCATACTTCACTATGATGGTGGTATACCATGGTTTACCTGAACTATTCATGCTAGCTATGATTCTGGTTACCAGCTCCATGGCTATGGAAAATGGCCCGTTTAGGGATGATTGATTAATGAGACTTAGAGTCTTAAAGACTTAGTGTGAGTATGTGTGAGTTCAATCAACCAAAACTTGTCTTCAACTCTATACATAACACAAATGTGATGTTAACGTTTTTTGGATGTTACGAACAGAAATTGTTAATGACTTAGTGTGGGGATTGACAAAAATACGTATTTAACAAAGACAAGTTTGACGGAAAAGCCATCAACAATTGGGATTTGAACAACAAAATCGAGGACTTGACTAACAAGAAATTGGACTTTCTTACACACACACAACCCTACATTTTTCCATAGAAAGGTTGTAAACCAGGAGTTCATAGATGCTTGTTACCTCATGATTTCCAGGCTTCCATGGTCAAGATCGTCTCATTGGTGCAAAAGTCAACTGGGGATCGCAACGATCATGGGTACCCTTCAATTCAACACTTGAATGTCATTTTAAAAAGTATTTTTATAAAACCATTTAATGTCACTGTTGGTCATTATTTAAGCCATTTAATGTGTAAAGCCTTATTTCTTGAAAAAGTTGTTCATAGTTTTTCCTTTGAAGTGGATGTCTTCGTTTTTCAGTCTCGTGCACGATTTTGGTGGTCCAATCCATTACAAGCTGCTTGTGCTACCACATCCCCTGCCATTGAGGAGAGCTGTGATGCTGCAAACATACCTCAGTGGCACAACATTCAGAAACAAAACGTTGAGCCCGTCCAAAGCAGTGGACCGAGAAAACGCAGCTACTGTCTTTTGTGAGCTGACTTTTTGATATCCAGCTTGAAGCAAATCTGGTTCAGTTTTGACTTGAATTCATCAAAAAATGGTCATAGAACAAGGTTGAGTGACCAGAAATTTCAACACCAAAAAAGACCAGTCATGACCAGTCCAATTCTCAAGTCTGAACTTATGGCCCTATGGCCCCCCATTTTTTGGCCAAACAATGTTCAGTTTCCACCATTACACTCTTCCCAAAAGGTGGCTGAAATCTCAAAGATCAAGTGACTGATGGCGCTGACGGTGGGATAGTCAAAGATCAAGGTGTTCGGCAACTTGATCCCCGGCAACTCATTGGAGAGGCGATTGCGGAACTCCACGGCCTGAAGACAGGCAAGACTGGATGCGAGGAAGGAATTTTAATGATGGTGGATATAGTGTTGTGGTGACAATATGTGTAATATTTGTAATACAACACTCATAAATAGTGGATATGGTGTTGTGGATATTTATGATTGTAGATATAGTGTTGTTTGTGATATTAACAGCAAGCCACAAAGGTTGTGGACGTACAGAAGCAATACCATGGTGGAAATCCATGAGTTTCAGCCTATAGTTGTGGTGATTGAGGCACCCGGTATCCTTTTAAGCCAAGTGGGGATTTAAAAAAAAACACGTTTACCGATGGAAAACTAAGAAGACATGAATGAAGCCAACCAGCGTTTTCTGCGACACAATCATTGGTGCACACATGTGCGTATCAGAAGACATCACAGGGATATCTGCATATCAATTGCCAGCGGAAATAACCAATAGCAACAAATCCGTTGATATTGTCTGTAGATTATCAAAGTGCGGTTGCTGATGGAGTTGTGTGGTTTTTCCCTATGAATAACCAATCCGAACCGCATGACATCCAACTCTCCAAGCACCAAAGATGGGTGCGCCCAGCGGTTGACCCAAGGGGCCGAGAGGGAATCCATGCCAGCTTCCATCAGCGGCTCCTGGTGGGCGCATCCCCCGAATATCAATATGGGTCTGTCTCAAAATGCCAAAGTTCTAACTTTAACCGGGAACCCTGTTTTCAGACACACCGGCATAAAAACTATGTTTGGTGGCTCTCCTGTTGGACACTGCCTTTCTGGGGAAGTTTTCAGGTGGCTCAAGATCCCCTGCTCATTTTGTTCCTTTTAGGAATCTCAAAAATATCCAAGTGGGCTTGATATCTCACCTAGCTTTGTAAAATCAAAACTATAAATAAACCTCTTTGAAACCAACCAGCCAGCCAACCAACCAGATGACCTTGAATTTTCCATCACCACTTGCCCGGCTACGCCCCGGCTTACGCCCCGTAGCCGACGCCGCCGCATCTCCTGCGCTGCCACCACACTGCCAGTCACCTCGCCGGCCACAGCCAAAATCATCGACTGCACCTGGCTGCAGAGACAGCGAAATTTTCCCTCTGGTAAACTAACATAACTATGGAAAATCACCATTTTTAATGGGAAAACTCACTATAAATGGTCATGTTCAATAGCTACGTTAAATTACCAGAGGGTACAAGGATGGATGTAGCTGAATGACACTAGGGCCTGAAACTTGCAGCCATGATGATGGATGATTCCCAGGTGGATCCAGAGATGTTGGTTTGTTTGTTTGATTCTTCGTATTAAACATGATCATTCTGAAAACCATGCGTTGTTCGGTATCTGAATCAAGTCTCCCCTGCCGGGGTTGAAGGGAGCTGAACTTGCAGGGAAGTGCTCGAATCGACATGGCAGCGAGGCAAAGTCTCGAGCTCCCAAAGCTGTTTAAACTGGGTACCCCACTAGTAGAATATCGCTGGATCTCAAATGTATCTGCCAATTATAAGACAAAACCCCAAAATCACACTGACTCACATTGTTGGTTTGATCATGTTAAATATATGCGAAATGGAGGTTTCCTAAAATGGGGTAGCCCCCAAATCATCCAAATTCGAGCATTTCAGTACTGAAACCCATGGTGACTTGGGGATCCACCTTTTGAAATCCCCCAATAAGTCCCCATTGTTGATGCCTCTTGCCCCCTCACTCCCGGTCGGACCTGCTCCGCATTGACCGCCGCCCTGGCTGGCGCCAGCGCACGGCCCTTTCCGGCCGCGGGCGCAGGGGCGCCGGAGGCGGCTTCGCGGCGGAAGCCTCGGAAATCGGATGAATGGAGGGGAAGTGAAGTTTAGTTTATAGAATTAGAATGAATTGGATAAGTAGATATAGATTTCAGATTTTGGATGATTAGATATGATTAGATATTGGATTTTAGACTCAAGATATTAGGTGTTAGATATAGAGACTAGATATTAGATTTTATTTTCCAAATATTAGATATCAGTTGTTAGATATCAGATTGATATAGATACACCATATATAGTTCGGTCTCCTTAAAATATGAGTGTGTATATATATATATATAGAACGCTGGGGTTATTTCATATGGTCATCACTCACTTGCTAACTGGGAACACCCTAAGTGGGGATCCTATCACTGCTGTTGCCGTGAGTATACTTCGATACAATTCCACTGCGTGTTTTATTGGGTGGAAAGTGGGGTAAAACTACACACCCGAAAAGCTCTCACTCCCAAGTGCACATGCCACCAAGTAGCGAGAATAGAAGGTTGGCACTGCTTTGCCAAACCTCAATGGCTCAGGGGATCAAACCCAAAAACTATTGCCATGGATACACTCCAAAGTAATAGTTATTGGGAGCAAAGTCGTTGCCGGGTCATCCCTTTTGACAGGGAGTCTGAGTCGACCCCCCCATATGAACTTGATATGGAAACCCCCGAAGATGTGATCATCTCAGGTCCCGACCCACTTCAGCGGTTTTTTCCAGGTTAGATTTCAGGGGTAAAATATTAAAGTGACCTATACTGAGGTTACCTGATCAGCTGTCCCTCCATCCATTCATCCATCCATTCATCTTGAAAATACAGCCACGTTCTTTTTCTGTTCTTGCATTTCCAACTATCCATTGACACTATAGGTATACTATATCAATCTATATCATATGTGGCAAAGCCAATGCCATCAACCATCCCACCCCATTGGGTTTACCACATGATTTCTGATGTGCCCCATCCCAGATCTTAGCCAAAGATCTGCTTCAAGTACTGACTCCAGTGCACTGGGCATGCTGCCACCACCGGCACGCTGGAACCCAGGGAGCCAGCCAAGGCAGCCATGCCCACCTTAAAAAGATTGTGCCATCGGGTCTGAGCTCCAAGAATGCTAGTTTTACCTGCAAAATTTGATATCCAACTGGAAAAATGTGGATTTCCTTCATATTAGCGTGCGTCTGAAAATGATTCATGGGCATTATCCGTATGATTAAAACCCACCATGTTTATGGGATAAAATGGGGATATAACCCAAGTTTACTATACACAGTATGATCTTGGTCTGAAACTGGGGGAGTTACCCCAAGTTGACCAGCCGGCTTCAGCGAACTTGGAATCCAAGGATGCCAACTCATCCAGCTCCAACAGGGCCAATGTAGAACGGTCAAAAGGCGGCATTTGCTGCTTGACCCAGGACTGTGGGGTCTCCAATTTTGGTGGTTTCCCCGAAACCAGCTTTTTGGACATGTTCACTTTCATGTCAACATCCCCACTTTCCATCTGTCAGTTTTCAATGTCCGACGTTTGGTCAATCTCTGGTGAATCTTCAAAGACCTCGAGAGATTCCATCGTCCAAGGTGCAGTGTTGCCGATGGATCCCAAACCTTGCGATTTCAAGCGCTGAACCTTAGGCTGTGCATGGCCGGAAATGAAGACCTAAACAAGTTGTCGAAGGATGAACTCAAAGGAGCGAATGTCAAAACAAACGGTATAAACACGATATATATATATATTTATACATAGAATTATTATACGTGTATATATATATATTGTATATTACACGTATGGATATGAACGACATATGCCTATACGGATATCCAAACGTATAGCATCCATCCAAGCAGCAGCTCTTTATTTAGAGCTGTTCCTTACAACCTTTATTCACGACCTATGGATATCTCAAGACAATATCGATATTTCAAGATAATAAACCAACAACATCAAATCAGTTTCATACATATATGTATATATATATATATATTGATCAATACCTATACATACCATTTTTAGGGGATGAACATCCATTTACCAGCTATTTTGATGTTCACCAGGGGTACAAGGTTTTGACACATCCCCATATATATATAATATAGATAGATACATCATCTGTACTATTCTATCTGATTCGTTCTGATTCTATCTATTTTGACCCCATCCCCATCCCCTCCCGAAATTCCGAGAAGCAGTACCCTTGGTGGCCGCCATGCCCACTTCACGCCAGGGGCCCCACTGCACCGCAACCACCGTCTCGCCCAACGCCTTGCAACCCGGTTGTTTCCAAGTTCCGGGCATGCTTGTGCTATGATTTTTGGTTTTGTTTTTTTTAACACCGCCAGAGATGGCAGCCAAATATAGTTGTACCCTCTGGTAAACTAACATAGCTATTGAAAATTGCCATTTATAGTTGATTTTCCCATTAAAAATGGTGATTTTCCATAGTTATGTAAACGTTTACCAGAGGGTAACATGTTGAAAACATGTTACCCCCCCCACAGGATCTGATGTTTGTAAAGAAAATGCCCGGAATCCTGTGATGGCCAGCTTTGCTATGAGAAATCCAACACATCCTCAGACAGGAAGTGAAGCATGATGGAGGTGAAGGTGGTGATGGACCCCAAAAATGCAGCACTCAGATCACCCAGTGCCATGCACCTTCCAGTAGCGCGCGTGGGCATCCAGTGCCATGTTGGCAGCGGAGTAATTGCCCTGGCCAGGTGAGCCTGAGGCGTCGCCCAGGGACCACAGATGGACTACTTGTGTGTAGCATCCCAATTTCACCCCAATTCTGAAGATCCGAAGAAAAAATGACAAGATCCAAGACATCCAAAGTCAGCAAATTGGCCAACATTGCAGATTTGAATGAGAGATTGGGCCAGACACTGCCAACCCGGGAAGAATCCTGGTGTGTTCCGCACTGCCACCAACGTCCCAACACTCCACCAGGCAACCCAGGAGAGCCGAGGTGGATGAGAAGAGCACCGAGAAATCCAATGCACCAGACCTCTGCAGGCAAAGCCTCAAATGGCGCGCACCAAAGACCTGACGATCAGATGGGATGGGTTTCAGCCTGGAAACCTCTGGTTTTTCAACCAAAATCGCTGGTGCGCTCATGGCTTCCCCCCATTCCAGTGGTTTCATAAGTTGACATTGACCCATTCTCATGTGGCACCGTTTGATTTGAGCCCTTTAAAGCACACCAGTTTTTGCTTGGGAAGAAATCCTGACAGCATCACAAACAAAACTGATCCACGACTTGAGGCTACTAGAACTCACTACCGAAGTCTTCCGAAAAGCCAGCTCCGGGTGCAAAAAGCTCTGTTTTGGGATTTCTAGGTGCATTGCAAGTCCTCTTTGCTTAAGTTAAACCCTCTGACGACCTTCGCACCGTAGGCTTTCTCCAAATGCCTGGGTCCAAGCAGAAAGGATCCGGCTTCCTGGGGATTTACCAGGTTGAGGTTGCTACTTGGAAGCCATAAATTTGAATCATGTTATACCTTCTGGTAATTCAACATAGCTATGGAATAGATGGCCCATGTCTAGATGATTCACCATTGAAAATTGCGATTTTCTGTAGCTGTGTTACATTGCCAGAGAGTATGTTGTATAATTATAATGCTTAATTCATGTAAAGATCTCACAGGATATCACATGAAAAGTCCTGACCTGCTCCTGGGGACACCAAATCTGTCTCCGCACCATCAACTGTGAACAAGCAAATGATCCAAAGGACCTAATCTGGTGGTCCAATCCGGAAAAGAAACACTTCTCCATTTCCTTGTTGGACACACCACACCCAAGCCCACCTTACCCCCTCACCTTCCCCCCCGCGGCGAAAAATCGCCTCCGTGTGAGTTTGGGCAGGGTGGCGTCATCCAGGACGGCCGCCAGGTGAATCAGACCCTTCACCGGCATCTTTTTGGAGGAATCCAAGCTCATGGCCATCTCCTGGTGACCCCTCAAAAAAGGGGTCTGAAAGATTCTGGGGTGTACCCCCAAAATGACCGCTTTTAATGGGGAAAATATGGGAAAATGATGACACAATGATTAACCAATGGATTTCGGGGTAATTTTCAAACAAACCCACATGGATGGAAGATCCTGGAGGTTCCCGCTTCCAATGCGTCCATTTCCCAAGCCCCTGGGCCGTCTCTCAATCTCTTCCCAAAAAAAAGTGGTCCTGCACATCGCTGAGGCTGGCCACATCGCAGGCTTTCACCTGGAATTCCAAATCAAAGTCCTGCAACTTTTCCCACATGCTCTTGAGGTCGTCTCCTGAGCAATTCTCAAGACTGAAGCCATCGCCTATTGTCATCTGGGTAGCTATGACCCATACCTGTTGCTGGTGGATTGATAGTGGTTCCCATGGGTCATACTTGATCGTTGATCCCTACAAAATTGGAAAGTATGACCCTATAGTATAGGCAGGACTTTGAGATTGTTACCTTGGGGTAAAATCACTTCCAAAAGCAGATGGACCTGAATGAGTATCAATTTCATGCAAAGTGATTTCTGAGAGCTTCAGCGCACAGCACATATCCTTTTGCAAATTACCTGGCTTCACAATTGCAACCATGTACTGTATCTTCTAACGTCTCTGGCGCTTTCATGCTTGTCAAAAAAGGACACTAAGTCTAAGTAACTCATAAAAATATCAAAATCCCATTCAACTGGGTGGCATCACGCCTCCACCAACCCCTCATCCTGTTAGTTCCCTGTACGCCCAGCGGCCAACGACGCCGCGCCGGGACAGCAAAACCACCGACTTGGCACCCTCTTCGGCCAACATCTTGGTAGTCACCTGAGAGGTTGCGCCAAGCACCTGGGGGATCCTGGGGGGATTTACCCCGCCAAAATATGGCCATGTCCAAACAGGAAAAATGATGAGTAACTGAGTAACCTCTGCTTTGTACACCAGAATTCAACAGATTTATCATGGTTGATCCATCATTTTTCCATGAGTTTTTCCCCTAAAATCCCATGAAAAATTGCCATTTCTGGTCCCCTCAGCACCAACCTCTGCAGCCACGTTGCCAGACCCAAGGCGCCAACGCCACCGCTCAGCACGTAGCGGCCATCGTTCACCAGCTGCATGCGCGAGGGCTGCGTCAGCACCACCTGGTCCAACGAAGGCGGGGAAGGGTGGAATTTTCGGATGCTTATAGGTTGGTTTAGCTAGCTGACTACGGTAACATAGTTATGACATGTTCTAAGTAGCTAGATTGGTAGATAAGTTTTAAGTTGGATTTTAAAAAAAAACAATCAACTGTAGGATACTATAGGTATAACTACCATAAACTGTAGTTGTACATCTAGATTGGTAGATAACCCGATGACATGATTGGTTCAATGGCCAGGTACCGAGGTACCGATTTATTGGAGGTACCTACCATTTATAAGGCCTATGTAAGGGCTATTATGTAAGGGAATGTCCCCATAAAAATATATTAGTTCATATGGTACAGTACCTTTATTTTAGGAGCCCAAAAAAAAATCCCCCTGACATAACCGGGATGGAATGAGTAGAATGCGGATATGATATCTGCGGTGGATTTTGTGGGATCCTATCTTTCAAAGCCACATGAGTGATACCGGGATAGCCCACATAGATACCTCCAACAATGTTGCTTCTAATAATGCATGTCATAACTTTTTTGTAATGCATTAATATGTTTACATCTTAAATAGGTGTATATCTTATATTACCATCTGGTTATGACTAACATAGCCATGGAAAGATCCACCCATGTTTAATAGGTAAACCATCTATTTCTATGGGTCATCTATACCATGGCTATGTTAAATAACCAGAGGGTATATCCCAATATTTCCAGAGATGTTGAAACATCAACCTCTTTAGACGCTCCTAAGCTACCCTTCACCAAGGGTAACGCGCCTTACCAATCTGTTGGGCTCGCTGGAGGTAGCGCATGGCATCGATGCCCGAGCTCAAGCCCTCATAGCCTTGGTAAAAGTGGTGATTTCACATTGATTAACTAATTAGGGATAATGGATGAAAATGGGATCCAGTACCATTTAACGAGGGAAAATGGGGTCTAGTACCATTTTACATGGATAGGAGTACAACAAGAACCATCATGATAATGGCGATTGATGGCGATTAAATTCAACAAAAGTGGGGGATAATCACGGAGATTTTCCAGGGATCTAACTGGATTAAACTGATTGAACTAATCATTTGAGCAGGGATTTGGTTTTAACGAACAAGAATGGGGTACAGTACCATTTTATCATTCTATGTTTATAGAATGTGAATACAGTACATGACTGGCTTATAGTCTCATAGTCAATACGTGGTGATTTACCATCAAACATGGTGATTTAATTGCGTAAAATGGGCATATAGTGGGATGTACCCTCTAGTAGTTTGTTGCCCTTTGCTATGGAAGCCATGGCCCATTTAGTTCGACGAAGTTCGACGATTTACCGATTTGAAGTGGTGAATTTCCACAGCGAACTGCTAAATAACCAGCAGGTAATAGGATCTTTGGTACTTTTGGGCGCCATGTTAGATGCCCAGCGGCAAATTTGTGCTGAACAAGATTGAAAAACATGGAGCACCCCAGCCAGCATGGCTTCCCATCACAACATCAAAGTGGACAAACCTCCACCTGGAGGCCAATAGTTGGATGGTCTATCATGGAAAATCAGAAAAAAAATAATGGATGATTTGGGGGTACCCCCATTTTGGAAAACCTCCACCTGGGGATAGTTTTCATCATGTCCAGAAAAAAATCCGGTCCTTCTTCATCCAACTTTTGTCAGGCCGATCATCAAAATTATCCCATGTGCTCCCAACTACTCGCCCCACTTGAACGGGTTGGTGGCTGAGCCAACCCCCTCAAAAGACCAAAAAAATGAATATCAATTGAGATCAAGCAAGATCATCATCCCTCATGGGATGGAAAATGTGCCAATTTCATGAATCTAATGAAAGCACCAACCTGTGAAGCCACCATGTTGGCCGAGTAGCAGGTCAGAGGCACTTCCTTCCACCAGCCTTTCTCAATCTGGGACACCAGCCTGGCAGCCGAAACTCTCAGTAAACCAACGAGCAGAATTCAACTTGGGCATATCCTGCCATAACCAGAAACCTTTCCCTGCTCGCCAATAAGCCAAATGCATCCAAATGCCTGGGGGGGCTCAGGATGATTGCTGGTGGCTCTATCACCAATCGCAATCAGATACACTTCCCAGGCTGCCACGGGCGGCCTTCGCATCAGCACATTGTAACGTTCGGGTTGATATTCCATGACCCAATCCATGGCGATTTTCTCGTACTGCACATCCTGGGTGAAAGAATCCAGTCCGCTGCACATCTTCCATGCAACAGATTCATAGTACATCATAGGACTAGGGAAATCAGCAATCAGAAACAGTAGGAAGAAAAAGTAAACTTGTTGAAGGGTCGTAAAAAAACGGATTCTTTTTTCATGTCGTTTTTTCTTGTTAAAATTATATACTTGAAAACGTTCATCCGTTTGTCCTGGAAAGGCATTGAAAGCCATGACTACCACCGCATGGACATCGAAGATCATGAGTGTGAACAAGTCTGTCTCTGGACTCTAAATGCATACGAATTTAAACACAAATGTTCGAATGTTCTGTTCAAGGAATATGTTCCTCGCGATCGTCATTATTAGCATCATCATTGTCGTCGATATCATTACTATTACAGTATTATTACCAATTACCAATATCATCCAATATCAATACAATGATCAAACTCACCAATAGCAATATCATAATAAAGATCATCCATACTTTGTTATTGTCATTCTTTCCTGCTACTTAGCCAAGTCTCAGGACGTTCTTGTCGCATCTGCTCGTGGCTCCAAATCAAGCGCTTGCCTCGGATTGAGACTCGACCTGCTCATCTGCTATTTGTGATTTGTGACCTGCGGTGAACCTGGCACTTCAAGCAAGTTTAACCAACCTTCTGCGAGAAGTAGTTTAGTCTCTCAGCATCTTGCAAGGATTGGAATTCGAGGATGTTGCTCCAACTATGAAGTTTATATTTTATCTGGGCAAATTATAATAATTCACTAATCTGAATTAAGGCCATTTGGGGATGATTCCCCTTACTAACCATGATTTCCAGTGAGGTCGTAGTGAGGTCGTTATAATTTACCCAGATTTTATCTTTAACTACCTTTCCAAAGTGCTGAAAAAATACTGGAGCATCGATCTCTCCAGCTGAGCCATACTCTGCAAGTCATACCCAACCATCAATGGATTAATATGGATTGGTATAGTTTAAGGAAGAAACTCTACAAGAAACATCATGTCCCCATGAAAATCGTGAAATCTGGCCATTTCCTGTCGATTTTCGGTGACCAAGGTGCCAATCTCCATAAATCTGCCGCCTTTCTTCAGGAAACCCAAGGACTTGGGGATGTAGTCATCGTGGCTGAGACTGTTCAGCACCACCTGTCATCAGGGGAGTGGAAGAAAAAGGTTGAGAAGTTTTAAGATCAAGATCCTAACTGGACATGTAATATGTTAAGATCATGTAAGATCCGGGTTCAAAATTTCTTGGGAGCATATGTTCAATATCAGTGTGGCATGTTTCGGGGGCATGTGTTGGGGCATTTTCATGCCCCAGACATCCCCGACAGATTGGCTTCGTTTCGAGATACCATCTGGTTATGACTAACATAGCCATGGAAAATCACCATTTTTCAGTTCGGTAAACCATCTATTTCTATGGGCCATCTATACCATGGCTATGTTAAATAACCAGGGGGTGCTATTCAGCTGGCTATGTGGTACCCCAGGGTCAGATGTCCAACGAGAACCACCACCGGATATTGGTACCCGTCCAATACGATACCCAAGATCCCATGCGGATCTGCCAGATATTGCGATATCTCCTGGTTTGTGGGGAAATCATCAGATCACATTCTTGCAATATATATATATATATGTCATATATATAAATATTATATATATATATGTGTATTATATATATGTGTGTATATTATATATATATGTGTATTATATATATATGTGTATATTATATATATATGTATATTATATATTATATATATATGTATATTATATATTATATATATATATGTATATTATATATATGTATATATATATATATTGTATATATATATATATCAGAATAATGATTTATCCGTATAATTATGCCCATTCTGTCATATTCTATCCCCATTGTGGTTGGTTTTGCACCCTGTTGGAACAAACCCACCCGGCATCCCTGGCCGAGCAACATCGATGCCACCCTCAGCATCTGCGCCGTCTTCCTTCATGAAGCGTTTCATATCTTCGTCGAAGGCCTGAGAGTTTCGACCACAGGAAGGGGGGTGGCTTAGGATTTTGTTGGAAAAAAAACATGATTTTTCAAATCACCAATCAGAAACTGTCATTCAAGGGCAGGGTTCCCACTCCATGTCTCAGAATCAGCAGTGAGTCTTGTAGCAAGCTGTCAACCAACATCGTTTTGGGCAGTCTTGGACTCTTCAGAAGTGGTCGAAGCCACCTACCGCTGATGTCTTCTTGGTTTGTGATGCACAACCACAGCACCCTCACAGACTTTCAGATGATCATTACATTCTTATTTTTCAACCATCCAAAACCTTCTGATTCCCCAAAAGATCTTGAACCGCCCCATAAGAAGCGACCCAATCCCCAAAAAAACACCAGCGATCACATCACCATCCAGTGTCCTTGGCATCGCGGCTGCTGGTGATGTACTTCACTCCCATGTCTCGCAGGTGCTGCACCTTGCCCGGGCTGCCGGCAGTGGCAAAAATGGTGGCGCCAACGCGCTGGGCGAACTGCACTGCGACCAGACCGACCCCGCCAGTGGCTGCGTGGATCAGCACGCGCTCGCCCTGCCTTGGGACCGAGGCAAAATGGGGTGCAGAAGTGGCAAGGACTACTGGGCTCATGATTCATTAGTTGAGTGATATTGTATATAGGCTGTAAATATATATATATATGCATATACATATTATCTAGAATGAAAAGACATATAATAAAACTACAAATGCCCCTGGGTTCCATGAAGATATTGGTCACTTGTCAGCTGAAAATATAGCATGGGGATGCCAATGGTTAGGCTTGAACATGTTCATCAGAAAGCTTGGCTCAAGAGTACCTTTGGCCCTCCAAATTTTTGAAAACAACCTCGAAGGTTCCTGCTCCCCAGATAGATTCTCCGCGTCGAGACGCAGCACGAAACTTCTACCAAGCCAAACCCACCCTTTTTGGTGATGCGCCATGGGTCAGCATCACCATCCATCAGCATCCACACTTGCCTGTTGGTTCATATTCCCATTCTTGCAAGCCACATCCCCACGTTTCCCTTTTTTTAATTATTTGGTGTATCGAGTCCCCGTTTTTGTTCCTACTCTTGTAGGAAAAATCCCAATCATCACCTATCACCTTATTTGTATCACTCCTGTTCCCATCTATTCCAGCAATTTTCAATCATTTCCATCCTTGGACCGAACTCCACGCATACTGTGTGTAAAAATCCCAATCTTTGCAGGTGAAATCATCATATTTGCCCATTCTTTCTAAGTCAAAGCCACATTGGTTTTCCTCCTCTCCCCATCTTTAGCCCGTGAAACTCCCAGCAGTCTTGCTTCTATCCTCTCAGTGTTGTTGCTTGATGTTAGCTAGCTGATCTTAGTGATTGCCTAACTAACAATGGCTTTGTTACTTGTGTCACTTCCAATCTCTTGCCCGATATTCAATACCAGTAGAAACCTTGATTGATTATAGGATCTACTCATGTCGGGGAGGACCCAGTGCTGGGGGCTGTCTGCTGCACTCTTTTCACTCTATTCCAACTGGTACTGCGACACGTGAGAAACACCAGCCCTCGGTAGAGACATGGTAGTGAACCTCCACATTGTTATGAAATAACAATGGGTTCAAACACAGATGGGGGTTAAACCACACACATCTGGATCATGGTTAGACTCAGAAGGCCTGAACACATGTGCGGTTAGACTGCTAGAGTCAAACACACATACCCCTACATGGTGGAAACCAATGTTAGAGGGTTAATTCCCAACGAAGACCCTCTCCCTTCACTCCGCAGAGGAGATCCGGGAGGGAGGGTGGGGAAACTCAAAAATGGGTCCTTGAGCCAAAAGGCATCAAGGCCCATAAGGTATCAGGTATCACCACTTCCACACCTCATAAAGCCCCTACCCAACCAACCTACAATTATGAAGGGAAATAATTAACATCAACTAACATCAAACAAACATCAAACAACCTAAAAAAATAGTGAGTTTAATCTCCCTTCAGTCATTTCTCTACCTTCAAGGGCGACGCCCGAGGCGCTTCAAGGGCGCCAGCTCTTGGAAGGCCTCCTCGGTGGTGGCGAAGGTCACGGACCAGGCGGCCATCTGCTCGAAGGACCAGGAAGGCGGCTTGGGCGCCAGCAGCAACGCTTCGGTCACGGCGTAGGTCTGGAGGCAGCCCCAGGCGATACCTGGCTCGATGGCTCGGCGAGGCTCGAGGCTCGAGACCCCGAACACTGGGAGATACCCTGTACACATAGAAAAAGATGTGGAACACCGGTGGTTTCCCGAGGAAAATGATCTACTTTTATGGTGGGTTTTCCACATCCATGTGCGTTTACAGGAAGGTAACATGTAAGATGATAGAAAAATATGCATGTAGGGGCGAAGGATGTGGGGCTCACGTAGAAATGTAAGGGCCAAGAGGCAAAATTTTGGTTTAACCTGATAGAGAAATGGGATGAAGTGGGGATGTAAGCTGAGCTCATACAGGTGAGCATCACAAGTGTTGGTCGATAGTTCGGAATAGGTGGGCGATTCTATGCGATTCTCATCCACAGCGGGATACAGCTGAGGTGAAACAGTGGATGGAGGGTCAGTGAGGGTCAGTTGGATGATGTGCTGCAGATTTTATGGAATGCATCATTGACAAGACAAGACATGATGTTGCCTTCGTATGATGCAGAAAAAGGATTGAAATATCTGCAGGTCGGATGTTTGTGTCATCTGGTCATTGAACCAACCCTCCTATTGATTTCTCCCTTTGAAGGGATCTGTTTGTTTTTTTTCAGCCCGTTTTCAGACATACCCAAATCACATAAATATGATTATACTATCCTCATAGTATCCCCATTATCTTCCCATAAACATGGTGGGTTTTGATTCACTTTGATCTGGACTATATCCCATTATCCAAAAAAAAATGATTTCGATCATAATATATCATAATTATCATCATCGGTATATATATATATGTATGTATGTATATCAACTATATCCCATGATTGTATCCCAATTGATAAACCCTTATCCCCATTCCATCCCCATTCCATCCCCATTCCATCCCCATTCCATCCCCATTCCATCCCCATTCCATCCCCATTCCATCCCCATTTTCCCTAGTTAAATCAACCAAATCCCAATGTTGAATGACAACTCCATGTAAATATATGTAAATCCACTAGAAAAATATCTGTTAATGGCAAGCCTTCCTAGTAAAAATGCTGGAATTTTATGGGGATGGGTCAAAACCCTGGTACCTAGTGAACCCCAAAATAGCTGGGATTCATGGATGTTCATCCCACTAAAAATGTATCTATAGGTATTGATCCGATTCATACCCATATTCATAAAGCATCCATGTTCCAATGCCAAGCCACCAAAGACATCGTGGCCCGGCCGCAGCTGGGCCGCCTCCTTCTCCCCGCCGCCCACGGAGCAGACAGTGCCTGAGCAGTCACCACCCGGGTTGCCCGGGTCGCCAGGGTACCTCGCCGGTGCTGTGGAGCCCCTTGGGTCCTGGTTGATGGGAGATGCTTGGTGATCTGGTGATGTTGCTTTTTTCAATGATCATCTTAATATGTTTGAAATAGAGTAAAATGTCAGGAAATACCTATCTGCATGTTTTGGAGGTAAACCAGCTTGGTGGCAAGCCAGGCTGCGCACCATATGTAAACATATGTCAGGAATACTCCTAGTCGTGAGATGATAAATTGGAGGTGTATCCTGCGAATGTAAAGCGAAGATGTCGAAGTAAAATCAAAAAATAAAATAAAATAAGCACTAACAATCAATGATTACTGGATGGTGAATGGATCGTTAAGTATATCATTATATATTAACATACATTAACATACATTAACCATCAAATACCATCAATATATAGATGATTTTATAAAGCCAAATATCCAAGAGAGTGGAATGTCGCTCTCTTGGATGCTCGCCAATCAAGGCCACGGAAACCCCATATCCAAAAATTGCAGACAGTGCAGTTGAAAAGGTTGACAAAAACTAACATAGCTATGGAAAGATCCACCATTTTTCATGGGAAAACTCACTATAAATGGGCCATTTTCAATAGCTATGTTAAATTACCAGAGGCTAAGGCCGCTAAGATTGAAATCTCTGGCGAAAATGAACCGTCTCGATCGCTGCGAAAATGTGTGAAACATGCGATCGCTGACGGCTGATGATTCCACCGCGTCACATGCCCATGACGTTCAGCACATCACGGAAGTTCAATCCAATGGCACGAATTCGCAGCTCCACCTGCAACAAGCTGTCAAACCGCGTTGTTCAATGGATTGGTTTAAGGGAAAATCTTAACCGGAAACCATGGTTTTTACCATCAAATATAGGGGTTTCCTGTAAATTTTCCCATCATCCAATTCTATGAGTTGTCTTTGCACTGGGAAAATTATCCCACTTTCAGCAAGGATTCCTGCCACCCAAACATCAAACAGTCAATTTCGTGCCAAGCCTTCTGTTTTGCCCCTCTGCAACAGTACTTAAAAGCAATCTAAAGCAACAATTCGAAAGTCAAAAAAAATTAGAGAGTCACTTTTGGTTGCCCCTTTATTATCCAAAGCCTTTATTGAGATACTTAAATGTCACCTTTTGCCCATCCCCAGCTCTTGAATTCCGCACCTGTTCAGGTCCGGGCTGAGGTCGCACCGCTTGTGGCACAGGCCGCAGGTTGGACAGGCTGCCGCGCGAGGACATCTGCAGTCCTGGAAGTGAAATCTATGCTAAGTATGTTGTGAAATATGAAGAACGGGAAGAATTGGCCAAATCCAATGTTTGTCACTTGTCTGAGTGACCTGAAGTTGTATCCCAATTTTTTGCCCCTTCAAATGAGTCATGTTGCCCTTCTTGTTGGTTCCATTCCAAATGTTGTTGCTGACACACCAAGGTTGGCAGGTCACATCTCAACATACTGGTGACAGTCCCCTTGCAAGTGAGTCTTGCAGCATGCACGGTGCGAGATGGTCTGGGTATGTCTGGGAATCTTTTAAAAAAAAACGCAAAATTCATCAAAATTCGGCTATTTTGAGATAGTTTACCTGGGCCTTACCATCATATCATATCCATCATTAGGGTCAGCCAGGGGCGTCGTGGAAATTTAACCAGAGATTGAGAGATCAGATCATGATAGTTCTTATCCCATTTCCTCATTACATCATATTACATCCCCATATGTATTGCATGTATATCACATTTATAGGTGGTTTTCCTAAAATGGGAGTACCCCCATTAATTCATCCATTTGATTTGGGGATTTCCCATGAAATAAAGTGGTACCATCTGGTTATGACTAACAGTTTGCCATGGAAAATCCACCCATTTTTCAGTTCGGTAAACCATCTATATTTCGATTAGGGCCATCTATACCATGGCAAACTGTTAGTCATAACTAGAGGGTAAATAAACCATCCATTCAATGGGAATTCCAGGATCCTAAATTGGAGGTACTGTACCATATAAGGCCATATTTTGTGGGGATATTCCCTTACATAGGCCTTATATAGGCCTTATATATGGTAGGTACCTCCAATTTAGGATCCTGGAATGGCCATTGATCCATCCATTGGGGTACCCCCATGACTATGGAAATTCCCATCTCCATCATCGCCAAGCGTCTCATCGGCTTTCGCACTTGCACTGGGCTGCGAGAGAGCCGGGACACCTGCACCGTTGCGAGCAACGGTGGTGTAAGGGAAAAATTCGAGGAACCCATAGGAAAGCCCGATCTTTCATGGGAAAAACCAAGAAAAACCAGTGTTTCCGATGAAGATGTTCACTTAAACCAATCATTGACATCCATTGACTTGTAGATGGTCTATGTTCTTCCAAGAAATTGATCGAATGATTCATTTCGCAGGCTTCCCGGTCTCAGTTCACCAAAAGGTGGTGCCGCTCCAATTAATGCTTTGTTTGTCAACCCAGTCAACTATATATAGAATAATATAGAATGCAGATCTATGATTTATATTGATCTATGATTTATCTACGATAACTCAACTTAACCTACTTAGCAGGTTCCAATATCTGGACAGATCCAAGGCCATAGTTCCACTCCCGCAGCACCTTGAACTGCTCCTCGCGCATTGCCAATTCGCTTTCGGCTGCTCCAGCGCCCATGCCCAGCAGAGTGCCAAGGCTTTCAACCATGGCCTGGAAGGCTGGGTCCATGTTCAACTCTGAAGCTATAGGACCTACAGTAGGACTTGAATCTTTAGTTTTAATCGGTTTTAGGTATTCCGCAAAGATTTCGGATGTTCCATGATTTTCCCAAACACAGATACAGAAGGGGTGGGCACATGAGCACCTTGAAACTTCATGGTAGGAACAAAGAAAGATGTGTTAAAATTTTGCACGATAAAATTCGTCTTGGGGACCCTTGCAAATTGCCCAGGGACACAATCGTGTATTTTAGGTAGGCCATCAAGGGATCTGTGAATGCCAACTATTGAATCTGACACACCCTTCTGTTCATGTGAACTCCTGAATTTCTCAAGACCTTTCTGCCATTTTCTGCCTTTCCCCAACCAAAAACATGTCCCAATTCACCAGTTCAGCTTCCGCCTTGGCTGCCACTTCAGGCTGAAGATGTGGTGAATCCAAATCAAGGCATCGAAGTTTCATGGCCCGTTCCTCCATTCCTCAGCTTCTGGCCCTGGAGAGTTGATACAGCTGACATCAGCTGACTGAGGAGCCCACAGATGACAAGCTCCGTGCTGAGTGCCAGCGTTTCCACTTGTAGATTCAGTGTGCTACTTTCTGCTTTGTTCATACCCCCAGAGGTTCATTGTGCAGAAAGAGGGCTCAACCCCAATGATACATTGAAAATGCATGGAAATGTCATCAGCTTCCTGGCTTTAACAGAGAAACCAAAAAAGAGGCCGAGTTTGCACCTGCCACGACATCCACGACTCACACCTCACCAGATCACTAACGGATCGACAAGTTGCGAATGGTTCGAGCCAGACCCCAGAGGCCAGCATGGAGGTAGCTCCCAGGTCCACTGGGGTGGTCCTGTGTACCACAAGTGACATAGGCCATCTGCGGGCAATCCTCACCTGACGTCCCAGAATTTGATGCCAAGGTCACCATGAAAGATCATGAGACCAAGTTTCCAGACACCAACTTTACTCAGTATACGGTATATTACAGTATACAGTATACTCAGTGCCTGTATACCTGGTGTTTTTCTTGCAGTTTCAGACGCCGAGAAAACAGGTCTCTTCGCAAGTCAAGTCACCTTTCGCAATGAGCGCCATGCCCACCTGACAGGACACTCAGATTACCAAGCCAGTTTCAGGGCACAGGTGCAAGATCATCAAGTAGATCCAAACGGTGTGTTTTTCCTGAAATAACTTTAGACCTGCACATCGGATACACCAGCAATTTTCGGCAATTTTTGAGTATGGCCATGTTGATATAGGGACAATTTTCTGACAAACCATCAAATCTTCAGAAAGGAACGCTTTTCAAGGGCCCCAAATTCAAAAAATCCCTCGAAATCAATCCAAATCATCATGAATTCATGGTGAACTCTCAGGGCATGTCAGGGCGCTTCCCATGATTTTCAGCCAGCCAAAATCCCCACCCCAAAATCCGCCAGGTCCGCCTGCGCCAGAATCACCGCATCTTCCAGCACTGCCAGCTCCGGTTCCTCCTGGGCTCCGCTTGGATGCGGGGCACTGGATCCCACTGTAATTGTGTCATCTGGTGCAAAATCTCCGTGTTTCAAAGATACTGTACATGTAAATAACCCATCTAGAAATTTTGCTAGAAATATCTAGAAATGATGTGAAGTTTATACCGTTACCATGTTGGAATGATGCCAGAGAGTAGATGATTCCATGAGATAACATGCACAGCTGTGAAAACACCATGGTGCTGGCTTTCACCATTTCGGCTCCAGAACCTTCCTACATGGTAGACCATATGCTGTCATCCCAGTCAGCAAATGCTCAAGAGTATGTTTGAATCATACAGTATCAGTTTTTATGAATCATATCAGTTCTTGTGGGTCTACAAACCAATCGAAAAACTAGCAAGTGAATTGAAAACTCGCAACTTGCGAATCCTTCACCCCAATGTTTGTAACCAACCACGTGACACTCGAATGATGGCCCCAGCGTGACCCATGTGCCACCAGGCCTGAGCCAGAGCTCCCAAATGTATCACCGCCTTCCGTCCCTTCAGCTCCAATCCACTGGAACTGCTGATGAAGTTGGCCTTGCGAAGCAGGGAAGAGCTGAAAAGTGGCGTTCAGCATCACAAGATCATCAAGTATCTCAAGGCCCCACCAAGGCCCAGCAAGGCTCTAGGAAGGCCCCTACCAAGGGGTCCTTCGGGCATCAAGGACTGGCTCCCTCAGTTCCCTGGCCTTCGGGCACGTGTCAGCCAGCGCGGCGGCAAGCTCTGCGGGTGCACCTGGGAATTTGATTCACCAAGGTTGCAAGACATCATGAGGCCGTGTTCGCGTGCTGAGAATGGGGGGATGCACCTAAAGCCTTCTGTGGCCTTCAGTTTTATTCAATTTCCCTACAAAATAAGACGTCAAGTGGTGGATTTGGGGCTCTCCTATTTGGACATCCCCTTGGCTCTGTCCCAAGCTTGTTCACCTGAACGGCCCCGCTACGCCATGCACCGAGTCCGCGCCCTTGGACCCCTTGGTCCCCAGGCCGATGAAGAGAACACCTGCGCCATCCTTCATAGAGCCGGGTGTACCTTCCAAGTTGCTCCACTCAACCTGCGCAGCGGTGGCCCTGGCCTATACTGATCTCCTGATGTAATGTAATTACCAAACATTCCAAATCTACTTCTTGCAGTTCATGCTCCATTGCTTGTCACTCATGCCACGTTTGAAACGGGACCCAAGAAATGATAGTCACATAATGTCACATAAGTGTGGTCGGTGACACCTAGTGGGTAAGCTGGTTGATACGATATCTTTGCACACGAGAAGTGTGATCTAGAAGGAGAGAGAGAGAGAGAGAAGAATAAACGATTCGAAGTCCTAAGTAGACGAATCCAAGTGGATTGCTCAGTTTTCTCAGTAAGAACTGAGAACTCACCTTTTTCTCAGTGCTGTCTCTTATGGTTGAATGTGCTTTAGCATAGATCAGAACTATAGGGGGTCAGTGCCAATCAGTGACCTCACCAGGTGGCGCCTGAAGAATGTCTTCCTCCACATCATCTGTGGCTTGTTGCAGCATCTTAGCCTCGGATGTGCGTGGCTCAGAGTTGGCTGATGAAGAAAGGCGTCGAAGCAACTTGCAATGACCTATATACTCTGGTAATTTAACAGTTCGCCATGGAAAGATCCAACCATTTTTCAGTTCGGTAAACCATCTATTTCTATGGGCCATCTATACCATGGCAAACTGTTAGTCATAACATTTGTCTCCACTAGAGCCCAGCTGGTTCCACCAGCAAATCTCAGCCCGCTGCAATGTGTTCGGGTCGCACTTCACGGAACCTGAAAAAGCAGCGACCCGAACAGGAAGTGGCTTTGCTGAAAAGAGAGGAGACTGATCTGAAAAGTCACGCTCCAGAGAACACCCCCGAAAATGAATGGCTTATTGTCTTTGGGGGGCATCCATTTTCAAATATCTAACAGAATCTAACAGAATCTAACATGTTTTTGAAGAATCCTGTCAATCCTGGGCAAGTTTAATCGGCTCAACAAGAGTTCGGCGGCCGTTTTTTTCTGTATATCGTCCCAAGTGAAGATGAAGTTGGGACGCTAAAGATACAGTTAATCCCGGATCGCATGGACCCGATCTACTGTAAAATTTGCCCACTGCAAGACTGGTTGGTGGTTTCAACCTACCCCTCTGAAGAATATGAAGGTCAGTTGGGATGATGACACTCCCAATATATGGAAAGTCATAAGAAATGTTCCAAACCACCAACCAGAAGATCATCAAAGTGATAGCCCCAATTGTACCTATGGTAAACCCATGGGCTTCCACCCTTCCAGTGGGATCAGCAGGCCTCAAAGTTTCGAAGCCCAACATCGCTGTGCCATCCTGGAGAAAACTTGGAATTTTCAACACATGCCCAGAGCGTCCCAGTGAACCCACCGCAATGAATGAGTTTAAGGGAAACTTTTGGAGGAAGCCACGTGTTTCGCCATCAAATGTCTACGGGTGTTTCTGTTTATTTGAATATCCACTGAAGATCAAGCTTTCAGACCATCAACTGGTAATTTCCCGTAATCAACTGCTGGCTTTTGCTGCAAATTATCAAGTGGCCACACCGCACTGGTTATTAAATGAGGTAAACCCGATAACAACTACAACCGTCCCAGTACCCAGCCATTTGGTGGTCACTTTTGATCATCCTAAATGAAGTTAATACCCAATTAAAAAAACAAAAGTAGAGATCGTTTATTGCATTGGGTTTACCTCATTTCCATTCACTTCCCACTTCTATCGGTTATGTTTGTTGGTTTATAAACCCCATGAATGCTATGGTTATATCAAGTTATATCCGCTCCATAAACCCAAAGCTCAAGTATTGGTGTTACCCTCTGGTTATGACTAACATAGCCATGGAAAATAGCTCATTTATAATTTCATTTTCCCCAGCGAACTAAACCTCCATATATGGTTTATAGATGATTTTCCCCAGCTATAAACCTCCATTTATGGTTGGGATTTTCCATGGCTATCTGTGAGTCATAACCAGATGGTACCACCACTTTCGATGCCCCCTCCGCTCCTCTTTGCACAGCTTGGAATTTACGCAGTTCTCCCTGTCTGTGATCTCCACCAACTCGTGGTGGACGAAGATGTCCGTCTGCGATCCTGAAAGCCAAAATATGAGAGTCATTATCTGGCAGATACCCTCTGGTAATTTAACATAGCTATTGAAAATGGCTATTTATAGTGGATTTTCCCATTAAAAATGGTGATTTTCCATAGTTATGTTAGTTTACCAGAGGGTAACATGTGGATGTGGGTCAAAATGGAAGACCATTAATGGGACCACAGATGTGAGTTAGTCTAGTTTAGTATTAACCATCCAATTATTTTGGGGTACCTAATTTTGACCCATACCCATGTTACCCTCTGGTAAACAGCCACATAACTATGGAAAGATCCACCGTTTTTCATGGGAAAATTCACTATAAATGGTGATGTTCCATAGTTATGTTAAATTACCAGAGGGTATCATGTTGTAACATTGGAAATTCCAAATACTGGATAATCTTGACAATGATCTAACGTTTTTAAGATATTCAATATTAAAACTATTAAAATGGATTATCCGGAAAATGCTTCTGAACAGGTGCCAAATTCGATTCCTGGACTTGGTCTTGTTCCATCCCAGCTATCCGTCCCAGCTACCCTCTGGTAATTTAACATAGCTATTGAAAATGACCATAGAAATAGTGGAATTTCCCATTGAAAATGGTGATTTTCCATAGCTATGTTAATTTACCAGAGGGTATGAGTCCCGTCCTTGAGCATAGTGTGTGACCTTCTGCACCATCAATGGGATACGCAGGGAATTCAAGCCGTCCACCTGCACGGACGGCTTGCACTGACTGGGGAAACCTGGGGAAACTGATGATTTTTTCAGGGTGGATGGCGGTTTTGATCCATGGAAAATACCAACCATAAATGGAGGGTTCAATGGGAAAATCATGGAACTCAAGATTTTTGGGAAATTGTCCATTGCCATATTTGGTAGATGAAATGGGGTATTCTATCGTCAAACAAGCCAATATGGCGGAAAGGACAGGAACAACTATCTGATACAATTCGGAAACAACCAGCGATTGGAATCCTGTTGGCTCCAACTGGCTACGCTGATGGAAGTCATTCCTGTTGGCTCCAACTGGCTACGCTGATGGAAGTCATGTGAGGTCAAGGCAGAGATGGAAAGGAAAGCCTACTGTAAATATCCATGGTGAATCTGGATGAATATACGATCAATGGATAAAACAATAATTTTTACCTGCTGCCAGCTTTAAAGTTGTGACATCTACAGCAACACCTCTGTGCTGTGGCGTTCCAACATGAAGGCCATGCTGCCCTGGAAAGTACCATCCTCGGTCAAAGTTGGTTCTGGGGACCTCAAAACTTGAACAAAACGCATCATGAAATTGGGGACACCGTGAAGAGATCAATAGAAATAGAAGATAAACCATGATCAATGGAAGTGTTGTTCGGAAAATCATCGAACTAGATGATGGATTTTCCGTTGCCATGCTTCATTACTGGAGGGTAAACCATGATTTCTACCAGTTTGGGGTCAAGTCCACTGGTAGGAATATCAAGAGACCCGCCAATCTGGGGCAATGCAAGTCCAATCATTTCTCGTCATGATTCCATGAAAAACAAATAATGCTCTGTCTGTCTCAAAATGGGTCATTGACCCTGCCTTCATGGCCATTGAAATATCGGGGAAAATGATACCAATGGATTCAGAGGTCGCCTATTTTTATAACCAAACCAATCCATTTTGGTTAACAAAAACACATTTCCAACATGTCCGAATCCTTCCCTGAAGCCCGTCCCGCTCAAAAAAATCACCATGCATCAATCACTGCAGGGTTGAACAAATAGCCACTGTTGGTTCCATCGTCTTGCGCAGCGATGCGAGCCAAGACCTGGCGATGAGACGGCTTGGCTCGGAGAAACCTGCTGGGAGAAACGAGGTACCCGGCCTGGTAAACATACAAAAAGCGAACTGGAAAATGGCCCATAGAAATAGTTGATTTACCGAACTTAAACATAGTGATTTTCCAGTTCGCTATATTAGTTTACCGAGGGTAACCTATGATCAGGCAAACCCAGATGTAGACTGATGTCTGTTGTACCAAATCATACGCATGTAAACAATATGTCTGCAGTTTTGAATCCACACTTCGCTCTGCTTGCGGCTTGTAGGTTCCAGGGCAGTGATTGAATTCTAAAGGGAGCTTGGTGCATATCAAAGTCAAGTCGGGAAGTATATGTAACAAGATATCAGCGTAATTTAAGTTTCCCCAAATGCATTCATTTTAAATTGTATGGTCATTTGTGGATCCAATGTCCAGATCCATGCAGTGTACCATGGGACAGCCTGTCCCTTTGTCAATTCCACAGAAAAATACCATTGATTTCTGTAGGCAACTGGCCTCTGAAATGCTCCCTTAGAGGTCTGTCTGAAAATAGGCTACCTCAAAAATGTCCTGATTGATGATTGGTCGTCGGCTGCTATTGCAATGGCCCAAAAATTCCCCCATGTTTTTCCCGCACAACAAATATGGTGGGTTTGCTGTTGGGAAATCGACATGTCCGACATTTATTTGTATTACATAAATCCTCCACTTTCGGGCAAAACCCATGTGGATGTTTCTAGTTATATCATATCCCATAACATATCCGAAAAAACAAAAATCCCCATTCAAAATGGGTTGGTTCCATCCCATTCCTCTTGCTTAAATCCCCATTACTAATGGGTATATCACCATTTTCCCCTAGCTTTAAATCCCTATGTTTCATCTTAAAGCCCCATTTCTGCTGAGGTCCTGAGTTGTGATTTAATCCCGGTTTCTTGCTTAAATCATTATAGCGACGGACATATACTTAGAACATCATTTTTTCCAAAATTTCGGAACCTCCTCTTAGAACATCAAAATTACCATACTTAGAACATCAGAAATGTTTCTAAGTACGCACTTAGAACATCAGAAAAACAGATACTTAGAACATCTCCTTTGATTTGTGCATACTTAGAACATTAAAACACACATATACTTAGAACATGTCCTGTTACTTTGGTAAATATCCGCCGACCCCGGCAGAAATTAGGCGGCAGAGCCCTTAAATAAATATATATATATAGTATTATATAGTGTATATATATAATTAGCGACGGACAAATACTTCGAACATACATATATGTATGGTTCCCATTGGTTCCCCACTGGGATGTTCTAAGTATAGCTTGGAAATGTTCTAAGTATAGGTTTTGGGTATGTTCTAACTACTTCTTTTGAAACAATTTTCAGGATTTGTTTCCAAATGATGTTCTAAGTATTTGTCCATCGCTATACTTAAATCTGGTTGGTGGTTGAGCCCTACCCCTCTGAAAAATATGAGCCAGTTGGGATGATGACATTCCCAATATATGGAAAGTCATAAAATTCATGTTCCAAACCACCAACCAGTCATAGATTACCAATTGATTAGCCATTAGTATCCCATTTTATCATCCCATCATTATCCATCATTATCCCATGATCATATGCTATTATCCCTTGTTATCAATGATTAAACCACCAACCACTAAATCCCCAGATCTTTGTTGGTGAAATCCCCAGATTTCATCTCATCTGTCACCATTCCCCCGATTTCCACGCGCCACGACCTCCTTCTCTCCGCGCAAGATGTGGCGCACCGTGCGGAAGCGCGGCTGCAGAGGCAAACCGATCTTGGAGAAGGGAACCTGAGCATCAAAATGGCGAAGAAGACTTAGATTTGGGATTTCACCGATCTTCATGGGGAGTATCAATAAAATCAAATCAAATCAATCAATCAATCAATCAATCAATCAATCAAATATACAATGTTATATTATCAATCAGTCGAATATTATAATAAATCGAGCAAAACAAAGATAGCTTCAAATGGACTTGCGTGAATCCTCACATGATCTCGCATGCATTTTGATGCCTTCACCAGTTTGCGGCCATTTTCGAGGCGCAATCAACTCTAGCAACTGCACACCATGAGGCTTTGATGCAACCCCAAAGCAAATGGTTTTAAAAAATGATAACAAACATTATCAAGCTAATACAAATATTGGCAAAGGGTGTTACACACAGTATCAAATAGATTCAAATAGTGTCAAAGGGTCTTTGCTGATTACAAACATTATTAAATATTGCGACCTGCTTTGAATATACCATGTGTTTTGATGCACATGTCCAGCCAACCTCCGTCACCAAGCAACATAGAGTCGCTCAATGCTGACCTCCTCATCACACCTCTGACGCACCTGCGATGGTTGGCGCAGGGCTGCGGTTCAAGGGTGGCCCTGGGGTTCTGATGATTCTGGGGATGCCAATTTCAATTGGAAGGTTTTAACAGCCGGGATTTCACCACATCTCACACCTCAGCAAGATCCATGGATGGATATTGCAGCTCCTGGAAGTTCAAATCCAAATCCTCGGTGCTCAGCTGGGACCCGCCTATCTCAACGACTGTATAATGGAAGTTGGCATCAAGATTTTGTTGACACCAGTGAGTCAATGAGGAGCTTGAATTTCATCCTGGTGGCTGAAGGGCACTTTAGATGCAAACCCTTCACAACTGACCTTTAGGACCTCATGACCACAAGATGCCTAAAGAAGTGAAACTTTCACAAAACGGTGGATGGAGGAGGCTCATGCGAAAAGTGTGGAAACAAAAAATCTCGTGCCTGCATGCTTTCTTTGGGTCTGAGAAGCAAAGCAAAAAGCTGGCTTGACAATGAGCCAGTCTCTACTTGCATCTCTGTACACAACTCTGCCACAGTCCCTAATGCTGCCCATACAATAGGACCTATACATGCAAATGGATGCAAATGGATCAAAACTCCTGTACCCTCTATCCTCCTCTCGCATCCCAAGAATGAACAGCTCGGTCGATGTTGGGATGTAAATCGAAAGCCAATGTTGGGGTGTTTCTTCGCTATTGACTCTTGACCCATACCCAACTCATCACCGATCAACCTTGGGCACACCAAGGCACGCCTTCAGCGTGTGTCGCCAGCTTCCTTCTTTCCTTGGGGTCGTAGCTGCTCATGGACCAATGCTGATCTGGGAAGAGCTCCAGATACCTCAAAGCCACCAAGGATTCGCTCAGAAAGCTTGGAAGTTGCGCATCTGAAAATGGCCCAAACTGCCATCAAAATGTAGGGAAAATGATGATTAACCAGTGAATTTGGGGGTACCCTATTTTCAGACAAACCCATGCAGAGTTATGGATGATCGCTGGATTTTGGGGAGGTGGTTACGAGCTTTACTTAATTTAAATTGGTTGTGGCACCCGCAGAAATAGTTTGGAGTTGCACAATTTCTTGGCCGGGCAAGAAAAAATACTACATACATCCTTCCCAGCCACCAGACTGCTATGTCTGCAATCCCCTCAACAGGAAAATCGGCAGAAGATATGTTGACTGCATCCAGCAGATAGGGGTTTGATGTCGCTTCTTGGCCCAGATTCTTGACCCCAAAAGTTGGATGCTTTTAATACTGAAATAAGATAAAATAACCAATTCTGCGGGTCCGTACGTGCCCCAACCAAAGCATGTCATGACTTTTGGGCAAAATCCATCCCGCCAAGTCTGAGTTCAACCCGCCAGGTGGCAGATCTACATCCCGCGCCAGCTTTCCTTCTTCGCCCTGTTTCAGCACCAGTGGAGCGGTGAAGCCCACCTCAACAGGACGTCCATTTCTTGGAAGGCGTAGTACCAGGCAAGGTGAAGGTATCAATGATACGGCATAGTTACTATAGTGTTACTATAGTGATAATTGAGTCCTCTTCCTGAGTTTCATAATTTTCATAAATAGAATAGGGAAAAAACTAGCTAGCCAACCCAATAAAGTGAAAAACCAACCCAAAGTGGTGCTACAGCAAGAAAAGATGCGGACAATGGGTCAATCATACTTGGGAACTCTGAAAATCCAAAGAATACAACCGCTTCACAAAGCAAGATGGGAAATCGCCAACAGTTAGTGGTGGATGGGGGTCTCGCCACCAAATGGATTGATTCATCCCATCATTCCGATGGTATTGGAGGTTTTGACCCATCATGACCCATCCATATCAACCATGTGTGCAACCACACCTTGAGAATGCTCCACTGCTTGTCTTTGCAGTTCAAGTGGAACTCTCCAGCCGCCAGTAACATCCTGACATACTGCAGGAATGTCTGAAGTCCAAGCCGAAATCAACGGTCGTTTTACCATTTCGGAAAAGAAGGTTGCAAAAATGTCCATTGGTTCAAGATGATTCAAGAAGAGTCTCCACGGTCTTTTCTCTCTGTGAATTCTACCTTGAACCAACTCTAGGAGAAGGGACACGACACCGTGAGGGAAAACATCCCCAAGAAACCATTGCGGGGCAGGTCAGAGAATGGTTTGCAATCCCTAAGATGCCAAAAACTGCAGGGCATCCTGGTTTGGGAGGCAAGATACGGACAAACCCGCGCTTTAAAAATCACACGTGGAATGATTTCTGGGATACGGATGTCTCATGATGTATCATGATGTTGAGACCCGATGTGATTGCCCGTGAATCGTCCAATGTGTTCAAAAGCTCACCCGTGCCAAGGGGCTCCAAGTAGGTGGCTCCAGGTACCACAATTTCACCGAAGATAATGTGGTGACCTTTGAAATTCCAGTTGGACTTCAAAGGATCAGCAACAAACAAATGGGATATGGTTTGGTCTGAAAATGGTGGTATTTTTTAAAGTTACTCCCCAAAAAGGGCCATTGAAATATGGGAAACATGATGGTAAACTACTCAATTTTGGGGATATCCCTGCTTCCAGACACCCATATGAAGGGTTGATGAAATTGGTGCACCCCAACCTTGGATACAAACCAGGTATATAACCGTTGGGTCATAGGGCCCTTGGTAGTACAAGGAGTCTCTGGAAAAACAGCCCACCAGCCAAAGCTGGCAAATTTGACATTCAACCACCACCATGTACCAGTTCAACAACGCGAAACAAGCACAAAATACAAAAAGAGTGAAAACAGTTGTTCATCTTCATTATGACACTGGTGAAATGGGACTCTCCGATTCGGGGTAGCGGGGGTAACGGGTAATAGCATTCGCAGAAGGTCTGTTTTAGAAATCTGTGACCACCGCTGGGTCTGAACCCCAAAGGCGGTTCAACCAGGAAATGTCTTGAATCAACTGAAGCTTCAAAGCTGGATTGCCGCAAATCCAAACATCAATGGCCATGTCAGGAACCTAAATTGGAGGTACCTACCATATATAAGGCCTATTTTTCAGGCCTATTTTTCAGGGCACATCCCCATAAAATATGGTTTTTATGGTACTAACGGTTACTAACGTACCTCCATTTTAGGATCCTGAGTCATTCCCATTGAAAACAACCAGAATCGGTTTTTCAAAACAACCAGGACTCGGCTATTGCCGCGGCGTCACTGACCAGTTGGAGCAACTTTCCAGCGAAGGGCTGTGCGAAGACCTGGCGTCCGCGCTGTGTGAAAAAACAGCGAGGCTCATGGGGTTACCCGAAAGATCCTGAGGACATTGCTAGGCTGCTAGAACAATATGTTGCTTGGTATGTAAGAAGCATTGTACATACATTATATAACTATACAATAAATAATCATAAATAATCATAAATAATCATAAAATATATAGTTTATAATTATCGATGTACATCAATGTACCACATCATTCAATATTGTCAATAGCATCCTTAACTTGTGGACTTGTAGCACTTGAGGGATGCGGAATGGGAGTTCACATTCCAACTTCTATGTTTGGATTATTTGACTCAATCAGTTGGTTTTACTTGGTGGTTCATCAGAGTGAGTAAGTGGGTGATATCATCAGTTATAACTGGACTAACCCTACCTACATCTACCTACCATACTTATAACTGGGGTTATAATCCACTTACTATCTAACTGCTATAACTGGGATGAACCACCAAGTAAGTATGGGTTTTTCCTGTAATTTGTTTCTTCGTCCCATTCTCGGAATCCACCGAGACTTGGGATTGTTGGGGATGGTGTAACATGTGCATCAGCTTTTGGCAAAATGGCTAGGACATAATATGACATAATGACATGGGTTGCTGGTCGGTGGAATATGTAGTTGAAGGAGAGTTTCTGATGTTACTGGACTGCACTCTTTGGAATTGGCAAACTCGAATGCCATCACTATCGAACTCGAATGCCATGGCCATGCTGGTTTTGAGGGCAGGACTCAAATCTATTTTTATCGTAGTGAGGTCATTGCCCAACGCTGATGGAGATCGAATCAACGACATGGAAGTAGCAATGATGGTTGAAGGTCTGAAGGTAAACAGGAATAAAACCACATGGTGGAATTTATCTGTTCTGTTGTCCAAGTTGTCCTGCTCTGCACATTCTTAGTTTCCCCAGGTTTTACCTAAATCATGTCTGTTCTTGTACTATCAGTGGATATGTTGTTCTTTTCATTCAATGATTAAAATCTCTTCACGCTGACTAGAATTGTGAGTACGCGACCCAGAGCTTCACCCCTCACAGCCCACTTTGTATCAGACAGGCCGTCTTGGGGCAGTTCTTGCAGAACAAGTGATTCAAAAATACTTTCCCAAATGCAGACGATATGTGATTTTTTCTGAGGGCATATAGAAGATGGGATGGCGGATGGCTGGTGATATATATATATATACATTGGGGAAAGTTTGGATCTCGACATGAAAGTCTAGTGCCGAAGCTGGCCGACTTGGAACTCAGAAAAAGTCAGGTCTACGAACCCAGCCCTGCAAAACACCGCCATAGTTTTTCCGCTTTGAGGACCAGCAGCTTTTTCCGACAAGGGCAAGCCACACAGATGTTGGCCTCTATTGATGTCACACAACGTGTCCTATCCTTTCAGGAGCGGACCTCCTCAGCCACAGCCGTCCAGACGGCGCTCTTGTCCAGTTGAAGTCGGCGTCTCTTGGCAGAATGCTGTTCCAAAATCGACACAATCTCTGCGTGGCCCTCAGATTTTGCGAGATCCAAAGGAGTCGAAGCATCATCAGCCTCTACCTCTGTCTCAGCTCCCGCCTCCACTAATATGCGAGCAATTTCTGGTTGATCATTCTGTGCTGCCAAATGTAGAGGTGTGATACCGCTGTCCGTGGCCACATCCTTCTCCGCACCAGCATCCAACAGCAAACGAACAACTCTCAAACTGCTGTTCAGGACAGCTTCGTGCAGTGGGGTCCAGCCGCCATCGGTTGAGCGCTTGTCTTTCTCCGCCGCAAAATTCAGCAAGAGCTGCACAACTTCTACATGATCACGCTGAGCTGCAAAATGCAAAGATGTTCTCCCTGTGCTTTCTGTTTTGTCTACGTCTGTTCCGGCCCGCAGGAAGAGACGGACCAGCCTTGCATGTCCATTCCAAGCGGCAGAATGCATTGCCACTGCACCACCGTACATTGATGCTTTGTCTCTCTCAGCACCAAAAGCAAGCAAGAGTTGAACAACTTCATGATGACCCATTCCAGACGCAAACATCAGAGGTGTGTCACCATGATCCTGGAGGTCTTTGGCTGCTCCCGCTTCTAGCAGCAATCGCACAGCTTCCACACGGCCATTCTGAGCCGCGTAGTGCAAAGCAGTCGTGCCTCGAAATGTCACTGCATCCTTCAGGGTGAAATGTCCCAGTCGAACATCACGCAATCATTGATGGGATCATCTACAACCATCTAAGCAGTGTTCAACACGCTCTATCAGATTCCATTGCAATGGATGGATTCTGAATTCATGTATGATGATAACCCATGTCAATCCCTAATGTAATTCATACAGTATATTGGGATATATTGGGCAGTATCATCCTCAAACCAATCATCAAGCCCCCAGCCAGTGCCACCCCTGTCCTTTGCCGTTCCAGCTGAAAGCAGCACCTGTGACACGTCGGTGTATCCCCGGCGAGCTGCCCAGTGTAGAGGTGTGTCGCCCCAGTGCGCCTTGGGCCCAGGATCTGCTCTGGCTTCGAGCAACACATTGACGCACTCCAAGCCTGATCGGTTGCGGAGTTTTTAGTAAAAGTTTGGTTTTCGATGTATATTTCAGTACAAATGTTCCATGATGTTCCAAGTGTAAAACTCGCCCAGAAAAAGATTAAAAAAAGTCGCTTGGGATCGTCATCCCACTAGGGAAAACCGAAAAAATCTGAATAAAGCCATCAACCAGAAGCTGCAATTGATGGCTGCTACGTGCATTGCTGTCCAACCATCGGGACCTTGCAGATCTGGATCTACTGGCAGAAGCAGAAGTGCTTCAACTTCTTTGGGCGAGTTGGAGACGCACGCGCTCACCAGTGCGTCGTGGTTGTCAGAAGTGGCTGGACAAAAAGCAAGGAGCACAAGCTTCAGTGCTTCTGAAGTCAAGTGGTCATCATCAGCACAGACTGAACTGTCGTTTGCATGCAATAATCTCTGCCGGAACCGCGAAAATCCAGTGCACTTCACTAAGCTTTGCTTGAGAACAATCGCTGGTTTACCCTCAAAGTCTTCTGCTGGAAATTCAGCAATTGCTTCTCCTGACACTGCAGACAACACCTGCAGCATGAAGACATCCACTTGTGGCTGGTCGAGAACTCTTGACCAGAACCAATACTGTTCCGTGGTTTTGAATAGTTCAACAGTTCGACTCCAAATTTGACCAGTATAAAATGTATAAATAATATTTGGTAATATTTGATATTCTCACGGTGTTCAAATAAGTTAAGTGTATCAGCCACGTCAAATCAACGTGATAAACTTCACTGACGCCGAGTCCCCGCGCGGCTCGAGCCGAGTAGCTGTGTGTCTGGTTAGAGAGCTATTGATCATTTGGAACTACTGAAGTTTTTAACGGTTTTTCCATAAACCTTAAAATATACCCTCTGGTTATGACTAACATAGCCATGGTATAGATGGCCCATAGAAATAGATGGTTTACCCATTAAGAATGGTGATTTTCCATATAATCCCACGTGAGAATTGGGATCATGACACGGGAAGGGAAGGATCATCGCGAGCACACTTTTTTTGTTTGTCGCCAAGACATCTACCCAGGCTTGAGAGCGGCTAGAACTGCTTAGAAGGCAAGGTTGAGGTGTGCAATTCCCCAAGTGATGCTGTCCTGTGGGTCAAAAGTCAAAAGTGGCCAAAACCGTCAGATTTTGTCAGATTTCGGTCAGATTTTCTTCGGAGGCTTCTGGGAGCCTTAAATTTTGAACCATCAAGCCGCTTTACAATATCACCGTCTCCAGAACCCCCCCTTTATAACCCCGCCAGACACGACCTGCACTCCCTCTGGCGTCTTGAGTGTGCGGGATAGCAGGGCATGTCGCCTGACATTGCGGTTGTGGTGGCCCATGTGTTGTCCCTGGTGGCAAGTACTTGGGGCCTCATGGTGCATGGTGCTGTTGTGCCAGCTATCAAAAGGCAACGTTTAAGGCATTTTAGTGCAAGCATCACTCCAACTGGCCCACATGCTCCAAGTCAACTTCCCTAGAAGAAAAGAAAGAATCAGGGACAAGGAAACTGACAGGCACTGCTAAAATGTACTGAAATGTTGTGCGTAGCTGTCTCTTGTTTGTCATACTGCATCCTCGCATTAGCTTGGAGTGTCGTGTAGTCTCCATGCTTCATTCAAATATGAGACCTGGAAACTTCAAAGAAACAACACTGGCGCTTTTGTGATCTAATGATGCATCTGGGATATGCAACTCTACTAGGATCTCATGTTTCCATCGATCCCGGAAAGCACCGTTCTCGCAAAAGGTGCCTCTGCTGCCAGGCAAAGGACTGTCGTTTGAAGACCGGAAGTTCTTCCACAGCCTCCTCTGGAGCACTGCTGTCTTCCAACACCACATGGCTGTTGGTGCCTCCAAATCCAAAGGAGGACAAGCCCGAGGATGACGCGCCGGAGGCTGCCAGATCCATGGTGCTTTCGGATGGGATGAAGCTTGGGAAGTTCTCCAAGTCGCAGTGGGGATTCAAGGCCTGTGCTTGGCAAGGTGGGTTGATTTGGGGCGGCGATGCCATAGAAAGAGGTGTGGCCTCAAGTACCCATGTCTTGAAGACTTCCAGAAACTGCAAGCTACTGATACAGCATCATCCCTGAAGTTACTATAAAGATTCAATACATGATTCTATTACAGTCTATTGTATGTCATACCAAACTGATTCTCAAAGCCCCACAGCTCACAACTATCGTTCCAAATTGTCTGTAGCCAATAAGTTACCAAACTTCATCAGTGTCCATTCACACCTGGAAGTGCAGGTTCGGAGCCGCTCGGCGCTTAGGCAACATGGACATCACCTGTAAAGGCTGGGGGCCGAGAGATCCAATCCCTTCGGATATACACAGTATCACTCAGATGCGAAGTGACCCAGCAAAAATCTAACCCAAAATGGTAGAATGGGGCATTGACAAAATAATTTAAATAGGTATGACGAAGAGGACGTGCAGTGATGTACCCAGTGATTTTTAAGTTATCTTAGCTCCGAGGCGCTTCCCATCTGCTAACGGGATTCTTGTACTGATCCGTGGATCCAAAAAAAAGATGATCAATGACCAGTTGAAGTGATGAAGATCTCGACCAGAATTTAAACCCATTGGGTTTGCCTGAAACAGGCCATGAGAATTCATGAGACACATGGTTATCAATCAAAACCAGGGTAACCTGGCTATTCAAAAATTTAGGCATTGCTCATCGATGTTCATCGCCTCAAAAGATGCGTTTTTAGTATCGATCCATCTCCAACTCCCCATTAAAAAAAGATCACATCAAAATCGGGCAACTATGTTCCAATCACTATCATCCTAATGCCCATCATCCTATGCCGTTCAAAATCCCTTCCATCCATGGTGGATGTTCCAGTTTATAAGTGGCTTAACTATGGTTTATGGTAGATATAACTATAGATAACTATGGTTTTTATGGGGTTCCACCGAAGTTTCACTTTCTCCTTCCACCTCCCACCATCCGTCCCATCCGTCCACGCCTTCAGCAGTCCAGCCATGCCAGCGGCTCCCTCCAGGTGCCCGATGTTGGTCTTCACGGCACAGAGGGCCAGGGGACTGCTGCGACCATCGCCATAGGTGTTCTTCAAGGCTCCGACTTCTATTGGATCTCCTAAAGCCTGAGGATTTTGCAGTGAAACTGGGATATACCCTCTGGTAAACTAACATAACTATGGAAAATCACCATTTTCAATGGGAAAATCCATTATAAATGGTGGTTTTCAATAGCTATGTTAAATTACCAGAGGGTAACTGGGATATAAATGGTGATGATGTCATAGGGATTTCATCGGAAATTCATGGATTTTCGTTGGGTTTTTTGGGGGGGATTCCCTGGGATTTATTTTTTATGGGATATAAATGGTGATTCAATGGAATGTAGCAATCAACAATGGAAATTCTAAGGATTCTAATCCATAAAAACCTTCCGGACTTTTCTCAAATGTGACCCCCCAAGAAATGGAAAATTTTGTCAATGGGATATTGACAAACAAGCCATGTTTGATTATCAGAGGGTAGCATGCTGAGATAAGGTATGGCTTTTTTCGGATTTTTGCTTTTCATGATAGCAGTCTACCGTGACAGCCGCTGTTTTTATTCACGGTTTTTTTTCTGATGGTATTTCTTCATGACTTTAAGTTTTCTTCTACCAGAAATGATGGTGTAAACTTTAGGATTTTTTTCTTTTTTGAGATGATTTTCAGTGTACCTGATGATGATTTTCTTGATACCCTCTGGTAATGACTAACATAGCGAACTGGAAAGATCCACCATTTTTCATGGGAAAATCCACTATTTCTATGGTGATTTTCCATAGCTATGTTAAATTACCAGAGGGTAATGGCTTTTTGTTGACGTTTTGGGGATGATTTTCTTGAATCTCTGGTCCATTCTGCAAAAAAAAACATCTTGGACTTCGGCTCAGTCATTCTTCCAAAGGATCACTCAACTGGCTGATCTTGGGTCAACACCACAATATCATGTCCCTGATTTGTGTGACTCAAATACCGATTTCTTGTTGCTTAGTATCCCAAATATCCCATAAAAAAATGGAAAAATGGGGGTTTCAGGGCGTATATGTTTGTATGTTGCTTGTTATGATTTTGTGTTGGGGTTCAATGTTTCATCTTCGCCTTTGATGATTTTTCAGGTGGGGTTTTGGGGGTAATTTTGTTGCTAAAGTGATGTGTCAATGTTTGGATTGAATGGGGGTAGGATTTGTTTAGGCTGTTGGTTTGTGTTTGGGTGGGTGATTACTTCATAATATGTGTTGTTAAGATATTATGAATTAATCATTTATGCTTTCCACTTTCCTATTCCATCCCACCAGTGTTCAATCACTCTCATTTGTGTTAAGCAGGGTTTGTTTGTATCATTCAGTTCATCCATCGCTATTGATAAAAGAGTTATGTTAATAATCATTGCGTTGAATTCACCATCACGGTTGAGTTCCTTTCCACAATCAATGATGACTTTTTTATCAGTCAGGTTTTCATGCATCTTTTTCATAATGTCAAAATTTACACACATATATATCGTCATATCCTTTACCCCTTCCCCTGATTTCATCCTATCAATTACTTTCTTCCAAAACTTTTCTCCTTCCTCATCATCTGGTGAAGGCATAGGATGGCACTTTACAAAGTCTCTAATCTCTTCATCTTCTTTTTCTATTTGTTTTCTTTCCCAATCATCGTCCTCACTATCACTACCAAAGTCAGCATATATACCAATATTCCCTGTATCTATAACCTCAATTTTTGCTCTACTCATTTTCTCTTACTATATATAGATATTTTTTTCTTTAAGTATTTATCACTTTTTGTAGGTGCTCTTTTATTTCTTCTATGTTCAAATATTTCTCATAACCGTTGAACAGTTCTTCAACATATTCACGCAATAAAATTTCCAAAATGTCTTTTATCTTGAACTCCCTGTTTCTAAACATAAAAGTTCGTTCAACATTAGGAAACCACCAGCATCTTCGTTGCTTACTGTAATTGATGAAATTAAGGTCGTGAAAGTTCTTTAGAATATGATAAGTGTATTTCCAATGGTTTTTGACATAAGACTTAATCGCTTGAAGATATATCTTATCTTTTTGAAATTCTACCTTCAGTTTATAGGTGTCCATTAAAGCGTCTATTTCTCTCTTCATTACTCTTACATTTGTTCGGTCGGTGTTGGATAAATAGATGTGATTTTTCCATCCTGGTTTTAAAGAAATGTATTTGTTTTTCAACTCTTGTTAGTTCTTTCTCTTTAAAATGGTCAAAATGATAGTTGAATGTTATATATCTGCGTTCCTTATCATTCAACTCTTTACATTTTGAACAGTGAAGGTTGTAATCACATATCTCATCACAAATTCCAGCAGGAAAAATGTTGTCCAATAAAACCTTAATGTCAGTCATTTCTTTTTTACAACATCCACAGTTTTTATAGGTAAATAGCATCCTCTTACTATATATAGGTAATTTTTCTTTAAGTAGTTTTTGGGGGGCTCGTTCAGTTTTCGGGCTCGGGTTGGTTTTTATTTTCCCTTTCCTCCTCTTCCAGTTCTCTTATGACCATATCTATTTCACTCATTCCTTCGTTGGGGTCTTGTCCATTGGCGAGGTTTCTTAACCTCTCAAAATCCTTCACTTTATGTCTTTCATTGGGTGGGAGGGTTTTGAGATGTTCCTTCAACTCTGTCAGGTCAAAGTATGTGTCTTCCTCCTCATCCTCATTTTCCAAAAACATTTCCAAATTTCATTTGCTTCTTGTAGCACTTGCCACACACATTCACGAAGGTTTTGAGCAAGTAGTTCCAATTAGGTTGGTTTCTATCGTTCAGGGTTATAACATCTGTCATTATACGACATCCACAGTCAAATTTAGTCATCTTATTTAGTCTTACTATATATAGGTATTTTTTCTTTAAGTATATTTTTTATTGTTGATAATTTTAAAAATCTAATATTATAATATATGGCAAGGAGACTATCAAGAGATGACATCATAAGCAATGTCTATTATAATCTTGAAACGGGCTTCGGTTCAATCAATGAGACCCTTAAGAAAGCCAAGGAGCAAGACCAGACCATCAACAGGGTGGATGTGGAAAACTTTATGAGGAAACAGCCCAACAAACAGATTAGAAAATACAGGGGGTCAAACTCCTACACCGCACCCTTCGCAAGGTTTGAATATCAGATTGACATAATGGATATGAAACCCCTTACCAAAGAACCAGAGACGAAAATTCCCATCAAGAACGATGAACCGAGATATGGGTTGGTGGTCATTGACATCTTCAGCAAGTTGGCAAACGTCGTCCCTATGAAAGAAAAATCCGGACCAATCACATTGTCGGCGATGAAAGAGAGTTTCAACAAAATGGGTTTTCCAATGTCCGTTTATAGTGATAATGACCGTGCCAAGCAGCCATCACTCACGTCGTGCCAATGTTGTGGAGCGTTTCATAAGGACAATGAAGAATATGATACACGACAGGGTGAGGTTTAATCGCGGTAGTTGGACTGTAATGTTGTCCAAAGCGTTAGATAAATACAACGACACCGTCCATTCATCCACCAAAATGAAACCCAAGGATGCCCACGACGACAAGAACCATATGGACGTCAGGGTGAATTTGACAAGGAGGGAAAAGAACACTCGCAAATATCCAGAGGTCAAAGTGAATGATATGGTCAAGGTCTTTGAGAAGAAAAAAGACAACTACACCGAGAGGAAGGAGTATAACTCAAAATGGAGCAATCAATCCTACAAAATTGTCAAGATAGAATACGATGATGTCGGAAACAGAACCTTCAAACTGGAAGGATTGAACAAACCGTATTTGAGGCACGAGATTTTGAAAGTATAAAAAATTATCTATAATATTAATATATGACAGAGGTAGTCGTAAAAGAGATTGATAATGAAGAACCCAAGGAAGAAACAATACCAGAACCAATACAGGAAGAAGCACGGCAAAGCCCTGCTTCCTATCGGGAAGCACCGAAAGAAGAGGAGAAACCAGAAGAAACAATTGAACCACCCGTTGAAAAGAAACCGCAACCAGCGCCAAAGCCCAAAAGGGTAAGACCGTCAAGGGCGAAACCACCTTTTGACCCAGAAGCATTCAAAAACGACCTTGTAAAGCAACTGAAGGAAGAACTACAGAGTGCAATGACCGCCAGAGACACCTACAACAAAGCCAAAGAGGAAAAGAACAAAGCGACGAGAGAGAAATTGAAATCTTTAGCATCAAAAATTTTATAAAGTATTATATATAAAAATGAACATCAAGGAACAGAAAACGGAACTCAACAAAACTGACATCTACGAAAACGTCCGCAAGGACATCAACAGAAGACAAACCGTCCATTCAAACAAAAGTGCCAACTACAGGAGCGGAACGCCCGAAATGCCAGACAGAAGAAAAAAAGTGTATAGTAGTTATGACCACTACTACCACAACGACAGCAACACGCTAAGGATGCCAACTCACAACCATCATCTTTACCTAAAGCGTCTTCTTGAATATCACAACACCGAGCACGATTACAAGGTCTTACAAGTAAAGCAGAGGATGTTAATATATAGCAATGACAGCAGAAGTAATCAACGCAAAACAGGGATTGACACGAATACCCACTTACGCAGAACTCATCAAGGAAATAGACGGGGAAAAGTTCAAAACCAATGACATCAGAAAAATCTTTGATAGGAACGCTTGGTATTTTCACGAAAGTCCGCAGGGTCAAGCACTGAACACAAACAACATCCACCCAGCAGACTTACAGCAAATGAACTTCAAAAAGATGGCAGAGGAAGCGACCGCAAGGAAGGAAGAAGAAACACCCAACCTTGACTTTGAAGATATGACCGACTTGAGGGACGACGCCATCAGCGACTTTGAGATGTCCTTTGACAGAGAGGCAGAGTTGAGGGAAGAGAACGAAAGGAGAGTAGCAGAACAAGCAAATTTAAGTCATTCACAAGACCACTATATGGCAAACAAAGGGGCATACGACGCCGTCGGAGCAACAGCATCGGCA